AGGTTGGGGCCCTTGTCTGAATCTAAATATTTTTGTCTTTGATCAGTTTTTAAGATAGCAGATACTTGAATTCTGGTAATATTTTAGTATGGGAAGGGAAAAAACCAAAACCCCAACATGGTTATCTGAATGCTGGGCTATTTCTGGTCAGCTATATTTTCAACCTCCTGGGCTAGAATGGAATGCTTTGTAGTGTTGGAAGCTGGGAATCCTTCCTCGCTCTGCTGTGTTTTGACACATTAGGTCTTAAATGATCTTTTTCTGTCTTGGCTTCAAGGTATTTGTCAGGCACTGGTCCAGTACTGAACAGTGCATGCATGTGTGAGTTTATTTGGAGAAGGAGGATTTTTAATCCACACTGTTACTGGTTGTAGGTGTGTATTTTTTCACTTGACTTTACAGTGAACGGATTTTCCTAATGCAGCATGACTAACAAGACATACTTTTAGTTATTTGATGCATTTAAATGACTAAAATTATTTTGACCCAGTATTTTAAAAACAAAATGGCTTTTAATTGTTCCGTGTAGAGTGGAACAACTTGTTTGAAAATGTGCTGATGTTCATCAGTTATCAGACAAAATGTCTACAGGGTTTTATTGTGTAGCCTAAACTTGCCAGCAAGATTTGGAATTAAGTCTCCAGCTGTTAACCCCACCCTGCTGTGCCTTCAGCTTGCCTGCCGTTTACAGCGGTGGGTGAAATAGATTTTATATGTTATAAATATAGTACTGGATGCTCCAACACAGTGAGGGGAGTTTCAGTTCTACTTTCAAACTTAAAACTACTTCAAAGTGAAGCTAAGTTGCACTGAAATGCAAGTAGTTGTTGGATAAACTCATGGGAGCTCTTCTGTCTTCTTTGATTTTACTTCATTTATCCACTCATGCACTGCTTTCTGCTGTGGTATCCAAGTGCCATGGTGTCTGGGAACTGAAAAACATCTTCAGCAGCTCCAGAGGTGCTGGCTACTATTCAGGTAGGAAACTGGGAAGAGAAGGGGAAGTTCTGTACTGATTGCTCCCCATGTTCTGGATGTGAAATCACTGCTTTAGAGTTAGCTCAGCTGACTCTTCCATCTCTTAATTTCTGTGACTTCCTAACTTGCTGGCCTGGAATGATTTCAGGTTCAGAAGAGGAGTTTTTCTGGGGAGGCTGGGGAGCTTCACCTCCATCCTAGCTGAACAGAGATGCCTTCCTACTCCACCGATGCTAGGGAATACCTCTGAAACAAACCAAGTTCAGGAGAGCGCCCAGAAATCCTCATGGCCTCACCCGCCTCTAGTCCATATACTGCGTGTGCCCAAAAAGCTTTGCTGTGACCATGACCTGCTGCCTGCCCTGCTTCCCCACCACCTCCCTCCCTCTCCGCTCTGGAGGAGAAAGAAATGCAGGAAGCTGGCGGGCGGCCCAGGGGCTCCCAAGCGTCCGGCAGGCGCCTCCCGCCGCGGCCCCGCGCGGGGCACGAGGGGAGCAAGAGCTGGACCTGGGCATCTCTTCCCAGGGATGTTGGCATTCCCGTGGTAGGGATTTCTTGGAGCTAGCCAGCTCCTTGCAAGTCCTGTTTGCACCCAAGTGTCGGGCCTATAGCTGGTCATGTTGGGCCTACGACTGGTGGAGTCGGGCCTAGGACTGGCAATGCAGTTACAGCCTCAGCCAAGGAAGCTGTGGGGTTTTGACCCCCACTTAAGAGAGACTTCTACACTCACTTTAACCTCAAAAGACAGGAAAAGTTCCTGATGGTTTCGGTGCCATTTTCTATTGAAAAACTTGAGGGTTCTCTTTCCGAGTTATTAACATCAGTGCTCTATGTATAAAAAGCAGAAAGGCTTTACACAGCTGCCTAGGCCTCTAAAATAGAACAATTGCACTCCATCCTTGGTAATAAATAGCTCTGAACCAACCAAAATGGCACAACAGGGAACTAACTTCGTTTTATTCATAAAGCATTTCTTTTGCTGCAGGAGCATAAGCCTGGAGTTCTGGGTGCCTGGTAAGAAATACTGTAGGATAAGTTTTCACTTAAATGCTTCATTACAATATTGATTAGTAGCGTCAGGATTTTTTATGCAGCTCAAAAGTTCAAGTGCATTAGATAAAAAATGGAATATGGTGAATCTTGAGCTTCATCTTGATCTTGAGAAATAAGAATGCTTTTCCCTGGATTCTTGTGTCTCCTTTTCTGCTTTTCAATGGAACACCTTGGTGACTGCTGCGCCTGTTTACCATGCAGTGTTCAGGCAGGGTTAGCTTGGCCTGAGGTGACTTTCCTTTTCCTTGCTTTGGGATTTCAGGTTGTCTGTCTTGGACAAAACAGTTCTTTACTGGCTAGAATTTGTAAATGGGAGAACTGAATGCTACAGAGCTCTGCCTTTGCAGATGTAGCAGAATGGGGAGAGGCTCAGTTAGTTAAATGTTTCTTACCTGAATCAGGGTGGATTTCCCAGAGTTCTGAGATGGAAAATAGTGCTTCTTTGGGGGGGAAAGAGGACTACCACTTCTTGTGGAGTGTGTATGCAACCTTTTTTCTCCAGTTAATCACCTTCTGTGCTGCTTTACCCATAGGTTCCTCAGGCTTGTGCAATCAAACACCCTGTCTAGCCCCTTAATTTTGAAGATGATGTATTTAAGCTAAGTTTGGTGCTGTTCTCTAAAAGATACCAGGTGTCTTAATGTGTATAATTGTTTTTGCTAATAGACAACATTTGAATTGCACTTGCTTGGTGTCTCATCAGACCTTTGTTTCAGAGTTGCCATATTAATGTGTGCTTACCTAGGGGAATGATGTGTGTGAGCTGGTTTGTGTTCTGTGTAAGCACATTTAATGGAATATCTGTTATTAAAGCAGAGGGATTAAGTTGAGTGCATCTGCTGTGCATCCAGTTATGTTTTTCAGGTGATGGGGAGGGAGTTACAGTAGCTGTAATTCTGTGCTATTTCTGGCTGGGCCACTCTTTATGTAGTTAACAAGGAAAAGAGAATAAAAAAGTGAAAAAAGGTGAGAAGGTGCCCCTTTGGAGAAAGGAGCTTGAAACACAGTCTTCTTGGCTGTCAACTTCAAGGAATCTTTTGTAATGCTCTGAAGTGCTCTCAGAGATGGGTTTGAGTCTGTGCCTTGGATCAGTGTGTTTGGACAAGGACATTTTGCAGTCTGTGCTGGTGGTGTCCTTGGGGCTCTGCTGCACTGGTGTCTTTTTCTAATGCAGGCTTTGCCATGGGATTATTGATCTTTACCAAATAGGTCTGTTTGAACTAAGCTAATTTTAAAAAAAAAGAAGTAGGTTTAAATAAATAAATAGTGTCATATAATGCCATCTTAGCTTTTGTGGTATTATTAGTTTTCTTTTTACTTGAATCACTTCCCAGATTCCCTCCGATCCTCACCCCATTGCTTCTTGGAAAACCTGTGTAAATGGGAGGAACTGAGTGCAATAAGGAGAACTGTTACATATATGGGGGGGGATTATCAGCTGTAATAATTGCAGATGTCTTAATTTAGAACAAGAAGTGACTTAAGTTGTCTGTTCTTTTCTTACACAGTCAGCTCTGAATGTTTGCTTTGCTTTCCAGCCAAATGATCTAATAACATTCAACAAGTAGGAGTGGAACTCAACTTCTGAAAAGTTTTGAGGAAAAGACTAGTTGTACTTTATGAAAGTAGAAGGTGGTGCCTTAAGCTGGATGTCATAAACTTTGCTCTGGCATTTTTCTCCTCCTGTGTTGCTAGATATCACAGAACCCTCAGAGGAGGGAGGTAACTGGAATGTCTCAGCTGTAGGAGATGTTTCAGTTAGAGTTTGGACCTTCCTTAGACACTGGGTACTTGGTCCATCCCAGGACAAAAAAATCGGGCTACATTAATTTTTAGTGTCTGGAACTAGTTCTGAGAGGAAGATGATCCATGAGCTACTGTATTAAAAATAAAGACTTAAATGCTGGATTTGAGAAAACATTCTGCCTCTGTTCTTACTTCTGTTTGTAACCTTAAGGATGTTGCTAATAGTTCTTTACCTAGTGGAATTGACTGTAAATGGACTAATTTACAGAAGTAGAAGAACAGACAAGACTTGGTCTTTTGTGAAGGTATTACAGAAGTGTAAAATAACTGTTTGTAGTGTTGATATCAAACATAATATTTAGAAACAAAAGTTCATTAATTTATGTTCTTTCTTCTTTACAGGTTTCCTCTGAAAAAACCTACGAGGTGAGTTTGACTGTTTATCTGTATTGCAAATTATGATCCAGCACTTAGGAAGGAGGTATGTTTTAAAAAGAGGGGAAGAAAACCCAAAACGTACAGCCACAGGTAGCAAAGCCTGTTACAGATGTCAATAAATTAATATCTAGGTTGGAACAGGGTGCCAGAAATCCAGATGGGGGTTTACTGCAAGTGCATGGCATACTGTTACCATTTGAAATTCTGTTCTCTGCGCTGGTGGCTCCTCTTACCTGAGATCTGAGACAGAGAAAGTGACACAGTTGGTGTGTGATATCCAGACGTTTCCTTTGCCAGGTATTTTTAGTTTATTGGGAGAGTCAAGTTTTCAGGGTTTTTTTTCAGTTTTATGTAACTTCAATTTGTTTTGCTTTTAAAATCAAATATTGGCTGGTGTTGAATGATAAAGAGAAAGCACTTGCTGACACTAATTTCAGGGGTTAACAAGAACCTTGGATACACTCCAGAAGATTCTGAGAGAGATCATTTTCCACTTGAATTCAGTCTGGGAATAAATTTTTTAGATCAACTTAATGCAGGCATTTTAATCTAAAGTCCTCAGCAGCAAACAGAACCAGCTGAGGTGATTTGCAAGAGACTCACTGTTTAGGCAGTGCTTCTGTGTTCTGGTAGTCAGGGTCATAGAAGGGCTGGGATTGGAAGGGACCTTAAAGATCATCTAGATTCAACCTCCTCTGCATGGGCAAGGACACTTCCCACCAGACCAGGTTGCTCAGAGCCCCATCTCTGCTTTGGTTTGACACAGACACGGCAGCATTCTGAGCAGAGAGTCTCCAGCTGACAAGAAACAGAAGGTCGAGCGCTGCAGTAGTACCCACGACTTTGATCCGACAGGTAAAGTCCTAAAACTTCACTTTGAAAAGTGCTGGGGATTGGAATAAAAATGTTAATGTGTCAAGAACTGTGGCTTTTGGAGTTACGTTGTTCTGCCGTTGCAAAGCCTTTCTGAAGCACTGATATGAATCTGGGCTTACTTTTAAACGAGCTCATCTATGAAGCAGCTGTTAACTGTGCAGGAATAAACCTAGATTAGTGGTATCAGAGAATAACTGTAACTACTTCCTCTCTCAGAAAAGCAGTCTGAAGTGTCAGTAGGCAAATAGTGCAATTAGCTGAGTAGTTCTTTGGGCTGTTTCAGTCCAAGTGTGAAATGGGAGAGATTAGAGGCTCAATTAAGGCTGGTGTCCTTGTTGGATTTGTTGCTTTTTTATCTTTTTATATTTTTTTTTTGAGCCTTAGTGGATTTTGATCAATCTCTGTCACTTGCAAAGTGAGTTTGTGCTGTCCAACCTGATATCCTTTAAGATAAACATCTGATTTTAGTCCATCCCAGGACAAAAAAATCGGGCTACATTAATTTTTAGTGTCTGGAACTAGTTCTGAGAGGAAGGTGATCCATGAGCTACTGTATTAAAAATAAAGACTTAAATGCTGGATTTGAGAAAACATTCTGCCTCTGTTCTTACTTCTGTTTGTAACCTTAAGGATGTTGCTAATAGTTCTTTACCTAGTGGAATTGACTGTAAATGGACTAATTTACAGAAGTAGAAGAACAGACAAGACTTGGTCTTTTGTGAAGGTATTACAGAAGTGTAAAATAACTGTTTGTAGTGTTGATATCAAACATAATATTTAGAAACAAAAGTTCATTAATTTATGTTCTTTCTTCTTTACAGGTTTCCTCTGAAAAAACCTACGAGGTGAGTTTGACTGTTTATCTGTATTGCAAATTATGATCCAGCACTTAGGAAGGAGGAATGTTTTAAAAAGAGGGGAAGAAAACCCAAAACGTACAGCCACAGGTAGCAAAGCCTGTTACAGATGTCAATAAATTAATATCTAGGTTGGAACAGGGTGCCAGAAACCCAGATGGGGGTTTACTGCAAGTGCATGGCATACTGTTACCATTTGAAATTCTGTTCTCTGCGCTGGTGGCTCCTCTTACCTGAGATCTGAGACAGAGAAAGTGACACAGTTGGTGTGTGATATCCAGACGTTTCCTTTGCCAGGTATTTTTAGTTTATTGGGAGAGTCAAGTTTTCAGGGTTTTTTTTCAGTTTTATGTAACTTCAATTTGTTTTGCTTTTAAAATCAAATATTGGCTGGTGTTGAATGATAAAGAGAAAGCACTTGCTGACACTAATTTCAGGGGTTAACAAGAACCTTGGATACACTCCAGAAGATTCTGAGAGAGATCATTTTCCACTCGAATTCAGTCTGGGAATAAATTTTTTAGATCAACTTAATGCAGGCATTTTAATCTAAAGTCCTCAGCAGCAAACAGAACCAGCTGAGGTGATTTGCAAGAGACTCACTGTTTAGGCAGTGCTTCTGTGTTCTGGTAGTCAGGGTCATAGAAGGGCTGGGATTGGAAGGGACCTTAAAGATCATCTAGATTCAACCTCCTCTGCATGGGCAAGGACACTTCCCACCAGACCAGGTTGCTCAGAGCCCCATCTCTGCTTTGGTTTGACACAGACACGGCAGCATTCTGAGCAGAGAGTCTCCAGCTGACAAGAAACAGAAGGTCGAGCGCTGCAGTAGTACCCACGACTTTGATCCGACAGGTAAAGTCCTAAAACTTCACTTTGAAAAGTGCTGGGGATTGGAATAAAAATGTTAATGTGTCAAGAACTGTGGCTTTTGGAGTTACGTTGTTCTGCCGTTGCAAAGCCTTTCTGAAGCACTGATATGAATCTGGGCTTACTTTTAAACGAGCTCATCTATGAAGCAGCTGTTAACTGTGCAGGAATAAACCTAGATTAGTGGTATCAGAGAATAACTGTAACTACTTCCTCTCTCAGAAAAGCAGTCTGAAGTGTCAGTAGGCAAATAGTGCAATTAGCTGAGTAGTTCTTTGGGCTGTTTCAGTCCAAGTGTGAAATGGGAGAGATTAGAGGCTCAATTAAGGCTGGTGTCCTTGTTGGATTTGTTGCTTTTTTATCTTTTTATATTTTTTTTTTGAGCCTTAGTGGATTTTGATCAATCTCTGTCACTTGCAAAGTGAGTTTGTGCTGTCCAACCTGATATCCTTTAAGATAAACATCTGATTTTAAAGGATATGCTATCCTATTTTTTTAACCTTCCCAAAGGTTAAATCTGGGTCCATTTTGTAAACTTGTCCAGTGCTGTCTTGGGACTTAGGATGCATGCAGGGATTCTTCATTCTCTCTCTGAAACACTAACCCAGTAACTACTGGATGCTCATGAAATGCATGACAGGCTCTTGTCTCAGCCTCCTGGCCCCACGCAATGTGCATTTTTCATGTCTGTGCATTCTGCTGTTTAGCTCAGTCTTTCCCATGGGGCTTATGGAAGAGATGAAAGTTCAATGTAAAGGTGGCAGAACTTGTAGAATGTGTTTTTGCACAAGACATTTGAAGCTGATGTTTGTAACCCACCCTGTTTGTTAATGCCTTCTGCCACTAGCTGCATGACTCCTTCCTAGTGTGCACCAACCACATGAAAATGGACTTTTAATGTCTGTTAAAAAAAAATAAAATCATGTAGGGGAGAGAATCTGAATTAGTTTTGTTTTCCTTGGGAACAGGCAATGGAAAATTATTTCAGGTTGGGGGAGGTCGGGTGGAGGTCTCAGGCTGTGAACCTGTTTTGTAGGAGGAATTTGCTTTCTTCAGAAGCAAACTGCAGGAATCCTTTAATCTTACTTTGATGAAAGTCATTCCAGTTTTGGGAGCTGTTACCTGGCACCAGTGTTTCTAGATGCTTGTGATCTGATAGATGAGCTCCGTTCTGTAGCCTTCCTAAAATCCTTGATTTTTCTTTTTAGGGGTGAATTCAGAATGCTGAATGACTATGTGTATGTTTATTGCTTACTCTGGAGATAAACATTAGCAGAGTTTCTATGCTTGGACTGGTTTTTATCCAGAATACTTCCCATAGTTCATTGCAGACAACTTCTTTTATTGTGTCTTAGATCCTGTAATAGATCCTTTGTGGTGTTACCTTTGTCTTCATGCTCATATTATTCCCCCCTTATTCCAAGTGTTTCACCTATGTTTTGTTCACATCTTATTTGTGTTTTGCACGATTTAACCAAATAAATCAGTCTGTGTTTTTCATGAAGTTTGTTTTCTTTTTTTTTTTCTCATGTTTGGTCTCCATATTTTCTATATCTCTCTCTCCTTTTCTCCTGCTCTCGTGCAGATAGCTCCTCCAAGAAGACAAAGTCTAGTTCAGAGGAGAGTAGATCCGAGACGTATGGTAAGCTAAAGCAGCTGCTGCAGCCTTGCACCTTTGCAGTCTGCTCGTGCTTTCTGTCTGTGCACCCAAGGCTTTATCCTCTACGTGATCCGCATGGTTGGCTCTGCAGCAGGGAGTGGGAAACTGGGTTTCAATGTTGCTTCAGTGTATCAGCTTGTAGTTTCTGTAGTGGCTGGAAACTAACCAGTATCTGGCAAGCACAGGCTGTCACCTGGATTCTCCTGGTGTCTGTTGAAAGTTGGGAAAACTTGCTGGGACTGCCCTTATTGGAGATCTTGTGCCACTGAGTCTTTTTGGCACGGTGTGAGGAGAGAGTTTTTGTGGTTGTAGAAACGTTTGTGAAGCTCCAACTGTGAAGGTTAATCTGGATGAGCCAGCAATTTGTCATTACTTGTAGAAAATCTCACGTCAGTTCCTGGTCATGCTCCACAGAAGTGGAAAAAATGTATCTGTAAATAATTTTGAAAAATGTAATAACATAAATGTCACATCAGGGTGTGAGACTGTTCCTCAGAAACTGTGAATGGGTTTTGAGAGTGCCTTAATTTGCTCCAGCAGAGGTGGAGACCTGGCTGGTTGCAGCTTCTGTGTTTTTTCCTCCTGTGCTCACAGGGAAGTGGCCTGCTTGGAAAGCAGATAGTTTGAGATGGTGCTTGTGTGGAAGCCTTGCCCAGTTCTTCCTCTTGCCATGTAGACACTGGTCAGTGACAGCACAGTCAGGTTGACTGGATCCCCACAGCTTGGACCTGTATTCGTTTGTACCTAACGTTGCTTACCCATAGTATTCTGGAGGTGGTGTCAGCCTGTTGTAGGCTAATTACAGGAAACGTTTGGTATGCTTGATGGAATGTATCTGTGTTTATACTTCTCCCTCAGTCTGTACAGTGTCCTGGTGTTTCATGTATGGCAGAAAGAAACATGACTTCCTAACATAAGCCTTTGCTTCCCCCAAAGCTTCCTGCAGATGCTCTGTCCATGCCCAGTATCTCTGGGAGCAGTTTCCACTCATCCTTCCTTTCCAGTGGCCTTTGCTGTGCTGGACCTTGCCCTGCCTTTTGTCTCTACCCTCTGCTTTCCCAGGTTCTGTGGGGTGTGTAGAGAAGTCTGCTGTTTGCTTATTTAAAAACCTACAAGTAGAAACACTGTACTGGTAGTTTTCTCCCTGGTGACTGGATGTTACCTGGCTCCTTCTTTGGCTACCCATTGGCAAGGGATTAATAGAAAAGTCTTGAATGACAGCAGGAAAAGGAGGTGTGGCTTTGTTGTTTTTGTTCTTAGCTTGTGAAATTCTAAATTCAGGAGCAAGAGACCAGGATTTCTCCAAGTACACGAATGGCTTGAGGGAATTTTTTTCTGCTCTACAGAAGTTGATTTATAGTGACATGAAACTTACAGTGCAATATTTTCTTCCATAAATCCAACCGTCTCATATCTGCATATTCAACACAATTAAGATGATCAGGAGGGAGTTTGTGTGTTGTTTCAGATGTGCTGCAATTTACTAATTAGTGCCATAACCTCCCACAATATTTGATGCCTTTTTCTCCAAGTAGAATTCTTGTCTCTTCAATGAGCTTAAAACTGAAGTTAGCTTGCTGGGTGGTAGGTGAGATAACAGTTACTCCTCTCTTTTCTCTGTGATTTAGTTGCTTTCGAAGATATCTTCCTTTTATTTAGTAGGGATCCATCAGTTTCTGCCCCAAATATTAGACTAGACCACATACATTCTCTTTCACATACTCTCTCCAACTTTGGGACAGGCTTTGAAATCGTTTTGTTCCAAACTCCCAGATTGTACTCCTGTCGAGATGTTTTAGAATGTAACTTTCTCTTCCTGTTTTGTTCCTTACAGTTCTTGTCAGCCTTGTGTCTTGATGCTGTGACCATCATTATTGCAGACTCTTGAAGGGACCCTTGGGAGCCCCTCATCACTATCCTTAGAATAGCCAGAAAGGGCTGTGAGTGCAAGGGCCACTGGACCACAGGGCTTGAATGTCTCGTTGCCATGGGAGCAGATAGTCCTATTTATGCTGCTTTTTTTTTCTAGAAGGGTTACCAAGCCTTGTTTTGGTTGTGTTTTGGTGTTTTGTTTTGTTTCTTTTTTTATGATATTGCTTTATTGACACAGAATCCACTGCACTGATTTCAAAGAATCTATTTTTTTCCTCAGACATGACATGACTTCAGATACCAGGTTAGTGGAGGAATCTGAAGAATGCTGCTAATGTGCCTTTTGGTTTGAGGATCATGATCAGAACTAGAAGGAAGTGAAATTCAGAACTTCATCCTATGAGAAATGTTCTTTGTCAAAGCTGATAGTTTTATTTGTTTAGTGGAGCAGGGCTTCTGTTTCTGAAAATATCTTTTAGAAGTATAAGGCTTCCCAAATGAAGTGAAGCATTTGGACATTCTCAAAACCCCAAGGAGTTTGTTTTTGTTTATTGAATGATTCATCCCGAATCACTATATTAAATTGCATTTTCCCATTGTGGCCTCATGCCTCCAGGGAGGTTAGAGTTCACAAGTCTCCTCCCGTGCCATGTCCCACACAGCTGGATCAGAGGAAAAGCTTCATTGGATGATGGGAGACGGAACTGATGTCTCCATTCTCTGACTCAGGTTTTTTAGAGTGAGCCCTTGCTCTCTTTGTGGTGAGCACTGCTAGGGATATGAAATGCCCTGTTTTATTGAGCAACTTCCAGATCTTTAGGATCTGTAGAAGAAAAGATGACAAACGATCTCTTTACTCCAGAAAAAAATAAATATATCTGGCAAAAATGTTGGAGACAATCGTTCTTACTACGTTGTGTCCGTGACCTTGAGAAGTTCGGACTTCCCCCTTCCCTCTTATCCAAAGGCACACTTGTAACAGCTGGAGAACAAGGGAGCCACCAGAGGGAATAGTGCCACCTACTGCAGAGCTGATCGTCCTTGCTTTTCTTGCAATGCCTTTTTTCTGAGACTGGTAATTTCTAACTACTTTCATTTTTAATCTTAAACTTCTTTAACTACAGCACATGGTTTGGCTGCTTTACTTCACTCTTGGCTTGAGGCTGTACCAATAATTTTGGGGAATTATCATAGGCATGAGAATGAAAAAGGATTTTTAAGTTTTATTTTTCTCCATAGAATTTTATTAATCCACTCAAGATATGAACATGTAGCCTGATCTTGTGCATTTAAGGCATAGCTACAGTGATGTCTTCTCAGCTCATGCCATGAAGGTCTGTCATGTGAAAGCCAACATGGGAGTAAGATCATCATCATTGATCTGATTTTGAGCACTATCAGTGATGAGTTCTGTTGGCATGGTGATCTTAACTAAGCTTCAGCTGGAAAAAGTGAAATACCATGGTGAGATATTTCAAAGTAGATGACTCATGATTTCCAGCCAGGGAACACTAAGAATGAGAACACAAGAGCAAAAAAAAACAAACTGAAAAGCTGTCTGCCACTTGCTAACATGGGCTCTTTAGTGTTGCCCCAAACATATTAGTCATTTAATGTAAGAGTTCTTGTGTTACTTGAGATACCCAGGCATGACAGTTGAAATCTTGTCATTGCATGTCAATGGGCTCCAAAGGTTTGTGGCTTTTCATTCAGCCTGTTCCTGAGTGTCTACTGAGGTATTCAAGGTCCAAGATGTGGGTTATGAAAACATTGCTGCTCTGCTCTTCAAATCCCACTACTAAGCAGATTGCAAATGCAATGTATTTTACCTCAAGAACAGATGTGAACAAATGACAGATGAGAGAGTTTTCCCTCACAGAGGCGTAAAAGAGAACACTTGAATGTTGCTCTTTTTAATCTACCTGGTTCAGACAGGGAGTGCTATCGAAGCTGATCTAGTTCTGCAAGTAACAGTGTTATCTTCAGAACACTTTCTTCCTTAAAATCTCTGTAAAGCTGCTGTGCATCTCCATCAAGCACAGTATCTCTCAGCTGGCCTGCCTAGACCTTGTCCCAGCTTTTTATGTTGTGTTAGCAGAAGGATTAGGTGTCTGGTTCTTGTCTGAAGGGAACAAGTACAGGGAAAAAAGGATTATGGTCTAGTTTGAGTTCAACTAATTCCAGTTGCCTCCCCATTCTAAAATTAAAAGGTGGTCTTGGGTCAAATTGAGATCTGTGGTGTGAAAGAGTTTAACTTGATTACTCTTGCAACTGAAGTTATAGGCTGTTATAGGTCAGTTGATTAGTCTCATACTGCCTTGCCTCAACTTCGGCATCAAGCTCATTCAAGGAGGTGGCTTATCAGTAGATTCAAGGGTTATTGGTTCTGGAAAAGAGAACAATTCAGTGGAAGAGCAGCGAGTACACAGGACTATACTGTGCCTTTAAACAAGGACAGTTCTTGTGAGTCAAAAGATTAGTTAGTGTCTTACTCATAAAACCTGCATGTCTGGCAGCAGAGCTTAAAACGAGCTGTTTTTTCTGAAATAGCCCATGTTCTCTTTCCCACACCCCACCCTGGGGCATCATTCTTGTGAAGTGAGACTTAAAGGAGCTTGGTCATATAGAGAATTGGGAGGTGCAAAAGGGAGGCATGTTCTCTCACTTAACCATATAAAGAAAGTGGGAAAAGTGTTGGGTCTTTTTCCTTCAGCTTTCACCTTGCATCCCTTCCATCATCTCCCTGCAGATCACAGTGTATAGAAGCACTTACTTCTGCTTTATCAGAAGAAGGGGAGTCACTGGAGAGTATAATACTGTGACCAAACTCCTGCAGAAGTGCTGGAATGCAACCTTTTCCACTGCTTCCACACCCATTTCATTATATGCCACACTGGAGAACAGGGCTAACTGGACAGACTCCATTAGGAGTTGCTCCAGAAAAGTGAAAGGAGCTGTACTGCTGCAAGAGTATCATAAGTCTATGACTCCACACTCTACTACAGTTCCTTCCTTAAAAATAATTCCAGAAAATATAGTCCTACTAGAACAGCTTCTTGAAAATTCCCTTTGCTCCCTCTATACTAAACAGAACTGCTGCAATTTTGCTGTCTTAATCGTGGAGAACTCCAATTCTTTTTCAAGATGTTGGTATAAGAATTTGGCTTGTTGTGGCTTTAGAAATGCAGAAGCAAAACAAGCTTAGAATGTAGGCTGATGTTTAATACCTGGTAATTTCTGTGGAAATAAAAGAACATCCATGAAGCATTTTGCAGAGTTCCTAGAGTCACTGTTCAAGAGAAGGGCTCTTTTTGCAGATGCTCCCAGGGAACTACTCTGCAATGAACATACCAGGACTGTTGTTTTGGTTTCATTTGCCTTATTTCATTTTTAGGTGAACACTCAGCATTTCACCTTTTCAAAATGCTGCACCTACCAAGTACGTTTATCCCTGCAACAGTATTTATGCTCACATTATACTGAGTAATCCTAACACCAGGAAATGAAGCAAGTTGCTTTTGATGTCACACACCAAGTTAAAGGAAGAGCAGATCCTGGGATTTTGGCCTTGTACTTCAGTAGCTCAGTGGGTAGCATGGTCTTGTTCAGTAGGCGTGGCTTGTACTTCTTTACTGCTGCTGCTCTGGATCTGTGTGGTATTCTCATCTGGTACAAAATGTTCCTCAAGATGAGATTTTTGCTGAGAATATGGAGAACATTTCCTGATTGACAGATCTGGTTTAGTTCAACCTGCTGAAAGAGGGTAGATTTAGGTTAGACATCAGAAGGAAATTCTTCACCATGAGGGTAGGAAGGCACTGGAATAGGTTGCCCAGGGAGGTTGTGGCTGCCTCATCCCTGGAGGTGTTCAAGGGTAGGTTGGATGAGGCTTGTGCAGCCTGGTCTGGATGGAAGGTGTCCCTGCTAATAGCAGGGAGGTTAAAACCTGATCATCTTCAAGGTCCCTTCCATCCTTCACCATTCTATGATTCTATGGTTATTCTGAGAGATTTGTGACTTACTTTTTAGAGTAGATTGTAAAAGTTGTTTGGTGTTTTTGCTGGTGTACTGGAACATGACAACCCTCTGTCTACTTAAGATCTGTTAATGCAGACAAAGGGAAATGGTACTCCTTGGTTCATGTACATAGCTGATGCTCTTTAAAAGCTGCTTTTACCTCAAGTTGTGTCTGATGTGCCAGAGCTGTCTGCATCTGCTGTTGTATATCTCTGTTTTGTGTAACTGAAGCAATAAGCTTGACCTGTATTGACATTCCTGTCTGTTTCTGGACTCCTGCCCTGTTTCTGTCTCTCATATATTTTTTTTCCCCCCTGTTGTATTGTACCAGTTTCTTTCAGTGCTCTGTGATTATCTGTGAGAATAAGGTTTTGAACTGATGCCTAGCTTGTGTCTCTTTGTATTTCTCTCCTTCTTTTTCTTCTGCCCTTTCCCCACCTTTCTTCTGCAGGTCTTGTTCAACGGTGTGTTGTTATCCAACGGGATGAGAATGGTTTTGGGCTGACAGTCAGTGGAGACAACCCAGTCTTCGTGCAGTCAGTCAAAGAAGGTAAGGAGCCTTGCTGAAAGGGCTAGCCAGAGAGCAGCCCAGATGGCCTGCATGTGCATCCAAGAAACACATGCATGATCTGGAGGAGAAAACTCTGAATGCCCTCTCCACAGATGGGATGGATGGAGCTTTGCAATGGATGTGCAAGGACAAAGCCTTGCACTGTGGGGATGCAGGGAATTGCCTCTCAGGGTCTGATCTATTTGGGTACTGAGCTCTTGGCTCTGAGAGGAAGTATGTATTGAGTGGTTCCTTGAAATGTGGTGGAATTGTGGCTTGATGTGTCCACTGCAAAAGGAGAACAGAGCTGCACTAGTCTAGATAGAGATTTTAATCAGATGGAGACAGAGGAAGCTTGGGTGGGTACAGGAAGTAGCTTTGTGTGGAACTACAGAAGTGCTTGAACTATTTGTGCTTTGAATGATTCTATTGAAATTGGAACTTAATGATTTCTTGCCTCTCTATCTAGATGGAGCAGCCATGCGGGCTGGAGTGCAAACAGGTGATAGAATTATCAAGGTAAGGACATTCAGATCTTCAGAGAGATGGATCCTTTGCATAAATTTGGACAATTTTTGGATGGGATTTCAAATTAATGAATTAAAATAGCTCCTTTAAAATCCTTTCTGCCCAGTCAGAGGTGGATTGCTCTTTTCAATTTTTGTTTGGTTGCTTGGGGGTTCTTACAGGGGCAAAGTGTGTGGTTTTCTTTTTACAGAACTCTGCTCCTTGAGGTAAACTGTTTGAAGGACAAATTGTTGTAGAAGTGTCTCGAAAGAGTAATGGAGTTGGGAGAAAATAAAATACTGTTCCTCTCTCTGTGTGCCTTGTAGTTGTGGGGACCTTTGGTTGAAAATCAGCAGCTAACCACTGTTCACTTTCACTTCCTCCCTACCCCAGGTGAATGGCACTCTTGTAACACACTCAAACCATTTGGAGGTGGTAAAGCTGATCAAGTGTAAGTAAAGCCAGGTTACTATTTTTGTCACTGTGCTACTTTAAAGCATGAAAGGCAGAATTTTAAAGGACCAGTGACTGAGCTATCAAGTGACAAGGATGAAATCTAACAATGCCCCATGCTGAGAGATAAAGGGTGTGGATATGGAACAGTGGAGTGAAATTGGGGTAAATTTAACATCTTGGACTTGAGCTGATACATGCTTTTGCAGTTTCTCCTTAGCTTGATGTTTGAAGTTGCCATCAAGCCTTGCCTTTGCATCTTCCCATCTTGAGTGCACCTGAAATACTGTAGCTCTTCAGGCACTCTAGGTTAATCATAGGCTGTCTGATGCTTTCTAAAAGAAATACATTCTTGATTCATTCTCTACATGAGCATATGTGTGTTGTAAATCCAACCTGGTAAATGTAACCTGATAGACTAGTAATTGGATTGTGTGCTTTTAATAAGGATGATGATCATGCAGGTCTTTGGTTTACCTGAAATTTAAACAGATCTCTAAACACAGAGCTGACAGGGCTCTCAGGTTCTTTGGTTTGAAGAACAACTGGGTGAAAGATGGTCTCAGTTTAGGTCTGAGCACCTCTCCTATGATATAGGCTGTGAGAGTTCAGCCTGGAGAAGAGGAGGCTCCAGGGAGACCTTAGAGCACCTTCCAGGGCCTGAAGGGGCTCCAGGAAAGCTGGGGAGGGACTTGGGACAAGGGCAGGGAGGGAGAGGACAAGGGGGAAGGGATGAAAATTGGAAGAGGGAGATTGAGGTAAGAGATGAGGAGGGAATTGTGGAGTGTGAGGGTGGTGAGAGCCTGGCCCAGGTTGCCCAGGGAAGCTGTGGCTGCCCCATCCCTGGCAGTGTTGAAGGGCAGGTTGGATGGGGCTTGGAGCAGCCTGGGCTGGTGGGAGGTCTCTGCCCATGCATCTAGATGATCTTGAAAGGTCCGTTCCAACCCAGACTAGTCTATGATTGTATGATTGTCTCTAGGATGAAATGTCAGCCACAGAAATCTGCAAGTGTGTCTGAAATGTGACTTGCTGTTCCTTTCCCTGCAGCGGGTTCCTATGTAGCTCTCACTGTCCAGGGGCGACCACCGGGGTCGCCCCAGATTCCCTTGGCTGATTCTGAAATGGATCTGGTGGCATTTGGGCAAGTGTCTCGCATCATGACGTCCCCCCATTCGCCTGGCACATCAGGAAATGCAGAAAGGATTACTAGCCCAGTACTTATGGGGGTAAGATTTTCAAGTGCTCTTTCCCAACAACCAGCCTGGAAGAAATGTTGTGTAATTTTTTTTTTTCTTGAATTGTTTTGCACTTCTTGCACAAATCATAAATGGGAATTGGAATCTTCATCCTGTCACACAGTGGGCATTTAATCACATGGGAAATAACTGTGTGTGTGTAGAAGTACTAAGTGCATTCTGAGAGAATACAAATGCAGTTGACGGGTTATTCACAGGTTTTCTTTGAGATATGCTGCAGTTTGCATTGTATGAGTTTGTATGTCAAGCTAGTCATGCTGTAATTTCTATTACCAAGTGGATTTTTAGGTGTGCAGACATGGCAAGGGTAGGGAAAGCCAATCAGTAAACACTTCTGATCTATTTTTATTTTTTTAAATGTTTGTAGCTGTGTTCAAAAGTAGGAGAGAATGCATAGGATAGATTCAGAAGCTTGATTTGCTTCTTGTAGGGCTCTTCAGAGTCCATACTTAGGAATCAGGTGGGCATATCCATTTTCCTTGTCTTTCTTCCCAACTCCATTAAAAAAATGCAACCTTTAAGCTCTCTGTGTTTTCTAGGAGGAGAATAATATTGTCCACAACCAGAAGGTGGAGATTCTGAGAAAGATGCTGCAGAAAGAGCAGGAGAGGCTGCAGGTACTGGAATTGCAGGAGTCTGGGAGGAAATAAAACATGGGTTATTGAACCCCTCTGTGGTAGCATCTTCACCATTCCCTTGTGTTTCAGCTCAGCTTCTCTATACACCTGCCCAACACCATAGATCTAGTCCCTTTCTACTGATCAGCTCTTAAGTTTGTAATCCTGGGCAGGGTCAGAAAAAAATGTGTGGGAGCTTTCTGAAGTGGAAATGTACACATCTGTCAGTCTGATCTGATCCTTGAGCAAGGAAGCATCTTGGACTCTGTGAGACTTCAGTAAACCTCTAGAATGGGGTGATTTTCATATGGCACAGGGAAGAGAGGGGAGCTGTGTAAAGTAGACATTCTGCAGCATCTGCTTTGTAGTTGTGCAGATGTGCTGGTTATTATCTCAAGTGTGTACATGAAATCAGTAGCAGGCTGTAGTTCTAAGCTTTGGTATTGAGGAGATACTGAGTGAAAGCTCCTAAAATTCTTTTTCAGTCTCTGCAAGAAGAATATAGTCGATCACCCACCCCACGACTGCTCAAGGAGATCCAGGAAACAAAGAAGCACATTCCTCAGTTGCAGGAGCAGTTGTCCAAAGCCACAGGCTGCGCTCAGGTAACAGAATGTCTCAGCCTTCTTTTCTCTGGCATGTTTGGTGAAAATTCTTGAGGGATGATGGTCTTCTGGGCCAGCAGGAGTTCCCTGCCCTGCTCTGCTGTGCTTGTATAGGCAAACTGCACCCTCTAGAGTTGAGAGTTGTCATTAAGCTTGCAGAGCCTAATTAGGCTTGCAGGGTCAAGCAATTTACTGCAATGTCAGTAAATTAAATAGAATTGAAATTGGACTTTCAAACCATCTGTGAAAAACTGTGTTTCAACCAGCAAGTGAAAGCTGTGATGTGTTCATTTGTCTGTCAATACAACTTAAAAGAAGCCTGTGAACTCATTCTTACTGTGGAGAATCAGTAACTGGAAGTTTAAAAAAAAGCTTTGCTTTTACTTATGAAACAAAAATAAATAAATGTAAGTGGTATTATTTTTCCACTTTTCCCTCTGTCAATAATATCCTAAGTCCTGAAAACTTGATCTGTTGTCTTCTCATAGGCAGTACAGCCTTTTTTCTAGGTTCATGAAGCAAGTTCTATAAATAATGTGAACTGAGTTTTAAAACAGCTAACGTTTCAGGATCGTCTCTTGAAACATCCTCCTTGCTCTGTGCTGCCTCCCAATGCACTTTTATCTTTTTAGGATGGAGTCTTGTCCTCCAGGTCTGTGACAGAATCTCTGCAAATCAGTGAAGTGGAGGCAGAGAGTGGGGATTGTGTGAGCAAACTGGATTACAGTGGTGACAGCCCCTCGCGACCCAACAGTGACATTGCTGATGTGAGTCTGGAACAGCTCAATGACTTTGGTTCTCGACCTGTTGGATTTGGTTTTCTTGTGTGCATTCTGTGTTGTCCAGTGTATCATCAGGATGTGCTCTTCCTCAGTAGTGTGACTTGAATAGGCTTCCCAGTACACACCAAAAGTATTTCGCTGAGGAAGCATGCTCTCTTGGACTTCCCTTTGGGACTGGGAAAGAAATAGTGTGGGTTTGGGGGTTTTATCCAGGATTGTATTTTCTTGGCACAATCCCTGTTAGCAGATGAAGATAGATGGATGCCAGGATCTTTCTCAGAACTTGAGAGATGCCAATGAGAGCATCTTAAAAAAGAGTATGGTGATGTTCCCACTGCAGTAGCTGTTTCTTAGGTACAGTCAGTGGAAAACTTGCTGTGAAAGTAGGGAAGCCTTAACTACTCCTAAAGAAGCTTCAATTATTGCCAACAGTGAAGTCCTTTAGTCTGTTCACTCATGAGTTACCAACCTGTGTCCTCTGTGGTCTTCCTATTGGAGTGTCTTAGCACCTAATCCTTGATTAAGTCATGACCTGATTAGTGCAGAGGAACTGAGGCTCTGTACTTGGGGTTTGGCCTAAGTTTGTTGTTTAATTGAAGGTTGTGGGAGTGAAATTTGTAGTAGCAGTTTGAATTGAAAGGAAGGTAGGTTAGATACACCTCCAAAGTGTGAACATACATTGAAACTCCAGAAAACTCCAGAAACTCCAACTCCAGATCTGACTGAATATTACTCATGTTTCTATATAATAAATGCAGAGCAAAATGAAGCTACTCAGTGTAACTTTCTTATCAGAACTGCTGATTTTGGTTTGGTTTTTGGACGGTGCACATAGGTCACACATTGTAGTTGGGTTGTTCATACCTCAGCTTAACAGTTCACTTTGTGAGAAAGGAGAAGTTTTGGCTGTTGTGGCTGAAAATCTCACTCTGTAGTTCTTGTTTTCCTGGCTTTGCTGGTGCTGACTAGGACTGAACTTCCTTCTTTCCCAGAGTCCTCGCAGTGGCCTGAAGGAGCGGATGTATCCAGATGAGAGCCCAGAAAAGACTGAGCTTCAAGATACTGTGAGTACAAATCTTGAAGTGTGACACCAGTCCATTAAAACCTGGCTGTTTTCCCCTTTTTTCCTAGATGAAGTTTGCAATTAAAATTGTGCAGGGATGTTTAATTAGCTCAGTAAATTTTTATGGAGCTTAAGAGTAGGCCCAGCTAGAGGTAAGAAATACATGCTCAGCAGTAAAACAAGTGGACCTAAAATAGGTAGAGCAAGATTGTATTCCTGAAGTACAGCAGTAAATGAAACTGCCTTTGTCAGGGATGGCCTCAAGAGCAGCTGAAAGTGGAAGACAGCAGAAAGTACAGACCTGTCTGAATGTATTACTGTCTTCCATAGGATGATTTCTGATGTCGTTTTCCACTCGTCTGCTTGACTTTCCAAAGTCATATTTCTCCATTTGTACTAAGATGGCACTTGTCATATGCCACATGCTTAGTGTGCTCCTGTCTGTAGATGGTGCAGTTGGTTTTGAATCATCTCATTTAATGCTCTTTAATTTAATGTTCTGAGTGCTTGGAACCTGGGAGAAGCATTCCTAAGGGGATCTCACAACTGCAGACTTGGACAAGGTTGAGTAAAGACACGTGGGTTTACACTGAGTTTTGAGAAGAATAAAAATAATAGTAGCATCTCTGACTGGTGAAGAAGGTTTCCTTTGTCAAGAGAGTAATAACATTGTATTTCTTCCCCTCCCTTCCCCTTCTCTTCTTTTACTCCTAACTCACCTCAGGATTCCCAGTCCAGTGTTGGAAGTCCATTATCCCGAGTGGGGCCTCAGATCATTGGAGCAGAGGATGATGACTTTGACACTGAACAGGAGCAGGTGAGCATGACTTAGCCTCAGCCACTCCTGTTTCCCCTTAACCCAAACTGTGTTCCTCTGTGCCTAAACTCCAAGTGCTCCAAGACTTGTTTATGAATTGTGTGGGGAATTAAGAATTAGAGAAAGCAATTCTTATTACAGCTGATCTTGCCAAATAAAAGCACTTGAGGAGTTGATGACAATATGACACCTTTGATTCTTTCTGGTACTGTTCCTTTCTTCTCCTAACTTCAAACTTCCTAGAAATTTATTGGCCTTATTAATTTTCTTTTGCTTAATGAGATTCTGTTAAGTTCTGCATATTGCCACAGCAGTATAGCTGCTGCAGCTTTTGACATATTTATTCTCAGCTTTTTGAGCTGCTCTTTGCTTGAATTATGTTTCATTATATTGTACTGTGTGTTCTGGAGAGTATTTAAAAGAAGTGTTTCTATTGTAAGCTCTTCCTGGGATGTTACAATGGCATTGCAAAGGTTCTGGAATCGGTCAGTTTTTACTCTAATTAAACAAATGAGGTGCTAAGCTATTGGAACAAAGCTTCTTGGTTTTTCTCACTGTAGCTTTCTTGAATAATTAAAAGAGTTTCCATGTGTGTCTGCAGATTAATGGACAATGCAGCTGTTTCCAAAACATTGAGCTCCTGAAGTCTCGCCCAGCTCACCTAGCTGTTCTGCTGCATCATGTAGTGTCCCAGTTTGATCCTGCAGCACTGGTAAGATGTTCTCCAGTTCTTTCCCTGGCCCAAATTGGTAACTTTCATCACAGTGTTCCAGGATCTCCTTGTTCTTGTGTAGCATTGTCAGTGACATGGCTGGATCAGCAAGTAGAGATGGAGATCCTGTGCAGGCAGGAGACCATTTCAGATAAATGAATAAATTAATGATAAATGAAGAGAACTCATTTAGAAATAAGTATATAGCTCTTGAAAGCACTTAATTCCACCCTGAGGTGGTAGGATTAGCTGTCTCCAGGGAAAACAGTCCCTCCTGCCTTTCCCTTCCCTGCTGATTGCCAGGCAGCCTAGCTGAAGTTACCTGAGCAATCCTGAAGGTAGCTGGGAAGAGTTTCAGGCAATAAGTGCTGAATTCCTTGAAGTATTTGAAAGAAAACTGGGAGTTTGGGGTGTTAGAAGAGTTGTCATAGTCACTCAGTGTCTTCCCCTCCTGTTTCCCACAGTTGTGCTACCTTTACACAGACTTGTACAAGCAGACCAACTCCAAAGAGACTCGGCGTGTCTTCCTGGAGTTCTACCAGTTCTTCTTGGACCGAGCTGCAGTAAGTCCCACTCATTTCTCTCCCCTTCCAACATATCTAGGAAGCTGACTTTTACCTTTCTCTCCTCTCCTCAACTGGAAGAAAAGGAAGGAGTGATTAAGTCCTCCAAAATAAAAGGGATTTTGTTCCAATGTCACCAGTGAATATGAAAAAATGAATGGTTCATAGTTACCAGATGCCTGGTAACTCCATAAATTGTGGGCACATGTGTTGTCTGATAGGAGAAATAATTTTGTTGTCTGTAATGATTGTATTTTAGTTAAGAATTGCTGCATGTATTGATGTGGCTATGGCAAGGGTTGGGAAATTTTAGGTGTCTGTTGGAAAACTTCTGTAGTCTCATGAACTGGACTACCAGAGCAGCAGAGGCTTGTACCACATGTTTAGATGAAATAATCCTTGTGTAATGCAATATATATTCAGGATGGGAGTCTCCACCATCAGGTGCTCAGGCTGTATGATTTTAGCTTTTAAGGGGGTTTTCTTATAGGTTTTGTACTGTGTGTTTTATAAGGGTGATACAAAAGGCTTTGTTTTCTTTTGCAGCATCTAAAAGTTCCAGTTCCAGATGAAATCTCCTTAGAACTAGGTAAGGTGCTCTTGCCTTGGGCTCTATCTCTGCAGTCTGAGGCAGTCCAAGCAAGTTTCTGAAATGCATTTGGGGTTACTTCAAACCTGGTGTCATGAGGCAAATAAATGTGTGCTCTGGTACCAGTGTAGGTGGTGGGAACCACCAGCCTCCTTGGCATGTACATTTTTTGGTGTGATTTGACCAAAGCTGCTTACACATAATGCACTGAAGTGCATATTATCAGCAAGACAAAGGCACAAGGGGGCTCTGGGATGGGTTGGAGGATACATGTGAGTTAACTTGATTCTGAGGTGGGGAGGAATGTTCTCAAAATAATAACCTATGAACTTTTCTGAATCACAGAGAGAAGAAGGCCAGAACTCATTCCTGAAGAGCTTCATCGCCAGTTTATACAAACTATGCAAGATAAAGTCTGTCCAGAAGTTCAAAAGAATCTGGAAGATTTCAGGTAACAACAAACTGCCTGTGTTGTATCCCCTTAATTCATACCTGCCCTCAGTCAACATGTCCAGTACAGGGCAAGTCCAAACTGGAGGGACATAGTGTCTGAGAAATCCTGGACAAAACAGGAAGATACCACTGGTGAGGGCCTTCAGGGTCACCCTGTGACCAATCCTTGAATATTTTTTGGCACTGTGTTGCAAGTAATCAGTTACAGGTTCAATTTTAGAGCTTGAATGCTTCATTCCTTGAAGCTATTTGAGGCAATTTCAGAATATTGTTACTTAGGTGGTGTTATATAAATCCTTCTTACTAATTGTGTTTATAATCAGCTTAGATCTTTTTTTTTCCTTCTCCTTTTTTCTTTCCCTCTCCCCTTTTGGCACAGAATAATCCACTTTAGAAAGCTGTCATGGGCATATAGTAGCATTTGATAATTAATATGCCTTTTCAGGTGGAGTCATAAGAGCTCTGTGCCAACGTGAGACATTATACCAAGACAAGCGTTCAAAAATGTCTCAATTCAAGTAGATGCTTCAAATATACAGGCTGGGATGCTGCAAAAAGAGGAGCTGCTTTATCTCTACCCTTGCAATGGCTGCCTCCATACCAATACCATAGAGTCATGGAATGATTAAGGTTGAGAGGGACCTGAAAGATGATCCAGATCCAACCCCCTGCATGGGCAGGGACACCTCCCACCAGCCCAGGCTGCTCCAAGCCCCATCCAACCTGCCCTTCAACACTGCCAGGGATGGGGCAGCCACAGCTTCCCTGGGCAACCTGGGCCAGGCTCTCACCACCCTCACACTCCTGAAATTCCTCCTCATGTCTCACCTCAATCTCCACAGTTTCATCCTTTTTTTTCATACAACTTCACCCCTCCAGGGCCATCTCAGCTGTGTCCTACAGTGAGTGCAAACATTAGGGTGAAATGTCACGGCTTCTCTATTTTCATTCAGAAACCAGTAACAAAACCTGCTTGACATTTTGAATGTCAAGCTTGTCAATGCTTTGCCTTGTTTCATGTCAATATTCAGTATCAGGTGATGCTTCCCTCTCTCCATTTTTCAGGCAGAAACGTAGTATGGGATTGACCCTGGCAGAAGGAGAACTAACCAAGCTGGATGCAGAACGAGTTCGGGACCGGAATGCGGTGGAGAAGGAAAGAGCATGTGCAGAGCAGATTATTGCTAAAATTGAGGAAGTCTTGTGAGTATCAGCAAAGATAATTGTGAGGGTAAAACAGGTTTTATCCTGAACCTGACAACAGCAGAGCAAGGAATTGGGAACTAGAAGCAATTTGACATCACATTTCCACTGCCTCCGCTGTTTGATGTCAATATACGTGCAGTAACAATAGCCCAAAGTAAGCTGATAGGTGAGGTCCAGATGTCTTTTCAAGGAGGCTACTGTTCAGGTAGTGCTTCCACTGTCAGCTTGTGCATTATTAGATCAGAGTTCTGGTTTTCTTCTGAACCTGTAGCTTCAGAACCCATTATTTCTTTTCATGTGAGTTGAATCCAGTTTTTTCTAGCTGAACTTTTTTTTTTCACTGCCCCTTCTTCTCCCTGGACTTTCTAACATTCTAAAGGACATGCTCTGGGTGGTTATGACTGGGTTTTGACTGGGTTTTGAGCTTCCTTTTAAAGTACTTTCTTATTTTCAGGATGACGTCTCAGCCTTTGGAAGAAGACAAGAGGTAAGGGCAGTTGTGTGGGCTTAGTCTGGGAAGTAAGAACCCCTACTGCTGAGCAGAACAAGGCAGCCCTCTGCTGGCTGTAGCCTCAAGCTCTCACTTTTTAACTTCACTGGCATAATTCATTCACGTTCAGAGCATCAGCCTCTTGCTCTTAAACTCTTCCTACTCTGAAGTTCCTTGCCTTTGTTTCAGATGTGAAAAAGTTCCTGAGAGGTCATGTTTCTTTTGGTTTTGTTTCTATCTGGTTTAACATTCATTTTGTGTGTGCCTTGCTTCCTTCACTTTGTATGTATTCAACATCTGAGTAGCTTTTACTAGACTCTTTACAGCAACCCTACATTTTAATGTTACTTGTTTTTACTGGAACTCAAAACTGAAGTGTGACTTAAACATGTATGTAGTGTATTATTTTAGGACCTTCTGTGTAATTGTCAAAGTTTTAATTTGACCTCCTAGGCTGGTATACCTTTTATGTCTTCCATCTTGTTAACAAGAGGACAAATTCTAAATTGGTTGAGTCTTTCCCACTGTATGGGATAAGCATTTTTGTATTTAAAACAAAGCCAAGTTCTTTTAATCTAAAAATGGTTAATTCCTCAATAGAACCTTGGCATTTGACCTTTGTAATTTTCTTAACAAAATGCATTTTTTTCTAATACATTATTCTTTATCCTCCATCTTCTTTTGTCTATTTTTCTTGTATATTCCTGGCAGTTCCACAATGCAGTATGTGATTCTTACTTACATGAAGCACTTGGGAGTCAAAGTCAAAGAACCTCGGAACCTGGAGCAGAAGCGTGGCCGGATTGGTTTCTTGCCAAAGATCAAGGTAGTAATGGCCAGAGTGCATTTGTTTAAAGCTGGGGGCTTCACTAGAACTCAAAATCTACTTTTGGGTGACATATTAGAAGCTGGAATGATTTTTCAGTCTTCATTGCTGCATCAAGAGGGTCTGGGGTTACTGAGCTGCACAGAAAGCAATGGAGATTGGGTCTGGTTTCAGACATGAGAATTAGGAATGAGTTGCCTTCTTGCTTCCTCTATCTATGCCTGAATTCCAACTGCTTGGTGTGCACAGTTCTAGCCCTACTGAAGCATTGGGTGAGGAATGTTTCATCTAATACAACCTTGGATCACTTGAGGATGTCATTAAGGCTAATCAAGCTGTATGCTTTAGTTTTCTTCTTGAGAAACTTTCCCAAAATCTCATGCTTCATGATGCCCGAGAGCTGCTTTTCCTGCCACCCACACTTTTCCAGTTATGTAATGAATTTTTCCATCAAAACTCCCTCTCTGTGGGTGTGTTCAGTTGTCTCCCACAGAATGGGGGTGTATCTGGTCAGAGCAGCTCCTTTTTTTCCTCAACGTTGCAGCTTCCTTTGAAATGTTGAGGCTGTTCAGGAGCGATTCTGCTCTGACATTGCAAAAAGGTTAGATCATGCATTTGCAATCCCTATGAATTGGGAAGATAAGTTGTATTTCTCTCTCCCAGATCAGAGTCTGTGTGCTTGTGGGCATCAGGAGTCACAAAATATTGTGCCTTAGAGAAACAAGGTGCTACTGTTGGCTGTAAATGGGTCTTTTACCCTGTGGGGGAGAGCAGCTTTAAGCTCCTGCTAAGATAAAAACAGGCTGTGTGAGTTTTAGCTTGTAGCAGATTTATCTTTTAAGATGCTGTGGCTCCCTGCTGCTAACCTGGTATGCAGCAGTCACAGCCTGTCCACAGGCTTTGCCTCTCATGCTGCAGGATTTTGACCTCTCAAGAACTTGTTAGAAACAAAATTCTCCTGTACCAAAATCCTGCCTTTATAAACAATGTAAATAACTGAATTTGAAGAAGTGAGTGATCTGTTTGCTTTTCTTTGTTGTGTATTCACTGCAGCAAAGTATCAAGAAAGAGAAAGAAGGAGAGGAAAAAGGAAAGAGAAGAGGCTTTCCTAATATTCTGGGCCCACCAAGGAGACCGAGTCGACATGATAGCAGTGCAAGTATGTCAGACAAGGAGACAGATGTTCCCAACCAGTAGTCTGAGACCAGAAAAATCTCTGCTGTTTTTCCAAAATATGAGTCATAGAATTGTTGGGGTTGGAGGGGACCTTCAAAATCATCCAGATCCAACCCCCTGCATGGGCAGGGACACCTCCCACCAGCCCAGGCTGCTCCAAGCCCCATCCAACCTGCCCTTCAACACTGCCAGGGATGGGGCAGCCACAGCTTCCCTGGGCAACCTGGGCCAGGCTCTCACCACCCTCACACTCCACAATTCCCTCCTCATCTCTCGCCTCAATCGCCCTCTTCCAATTTTCATCCCTTCCCCCTTGTCCTCTCCCTCCCTGCCCTTGTCCCAAGCCCCTCCCCAGCTTTCCTGGAAGCCCCTTCAGGCCCTGGAAGGTGCTCTAAGGTCTCCCTGGAGCCTTCTCTTCTCCAGGCTGAACACCCCAACTCTCCCAGCCTGGCTCTAGAGCAGAGCTGCTTCAAGCCCTTGGATCATTCTTGCAGCCTCCTCTGGAGTCTGTCCTTCTTCTGTTGGAGAAATGGTAGTAAACTTTTCGAGTTTAAAACATGTTTTTGAAGACCCACAAACCTAATTCTGTCCTGAAATGCCTCTTCTTCTCATGATTGAAGACAGGTAAAAGCTCTTTCAGCAATGTAATGGTTGTGTGTCCCTCCAGTTGGCAGAGCCATGGAAATGCAGAAGCCCCGGCACACAAAGCACGTACCCACAGCTCCCTCTGTCAGCCCAGAGCCATCAGATACCAGCAAGATGCGCCAGAGTGGGTCCTCCAGTGAGGGCACAGATGCACCATACCCACCTGCCAACCCAATGTCTCCTTTGGCAGTGGGTCCCTTTTCCTCTCCAGAAGGAAGCAAGGAGAGTGAAACAGGTAGGAATGATTTAGGATAATGTTGGGACTGGGCTGTGCAAAGCACAGTTCTGATGCAACACACTCCACCGATTAGGAAATGTTTTCATGTCATTAGACATGATCTTCTTTGCTTTAGTCATCTTATCTGGTTTAGTCTCTGGTTCAAATTATGACACCATATCATGGCCAGAAATTGCTGTTACGTGGGTTCTGTCACCGTGGCATTGGATCAGCAAACAGGAAACAAAAAAAGCTGAGGTCTCAGGTGCCTGGTTTTGTAAGTTCAGTGTCACCTGGAAATGTTTGTCACTGGGATTTTTCTTAGCAACCTAGGAATTCAGTTCCTCTGGTTCTAAGCTGAAATGAGGCTGTGAATCAAGAGGCTGTGAAGTTCTCTGATTTGGTAAGGTTCTTGACATCTTGTATTTGCTGTCTGTTTAGGTTTGAAGCAGACTGGAGAAGCTCCACCTGCTAATGAGTGTGTGGATGGCACACCCCGCACACCTAATAACACCTTTGAATTCCCATGTCCTTTGGAAAACTTGCAGGAGGAGGACGGAGAATCAGAGAGGTGATTATGGTGCCCTGGTTGCTCGACCCTTGGAAGGGAGTGGATGTGACAATGGTGTTGAAGTTTAGTCTATAAAACTGTAATTTGAATTAAATTGAATTGGTAGGAGTAGGAAATGCTGATCTGTGTCTGCTACTGCAGTAGTACTAGAAAACTATGTTTGAGGAGGGGGGAGGCAGAGAGGTGGACAAAGTGTTCTAGTTGGGAGGTGAGCCTTTCCTGTGAAGTGATGCTGAATGTCTGAGTGGGGTGAAATTCTTGCATAAGCTGCCCTAATAATTCCTTTCCTTCTTTTGTAGAATGGTTGACATGGGAACACCAAAGCCTTTTCGAAAGTGAGTATGTCTGTGGATGTCTGAACTGCACTGAATTTGTTGAGCTTTTAATAGATGATCAAGTAGAAGGCAGAAGTGTTCATTGTTCTGAGCCAGGGCAATTGTCTGCATGATCTTTTCTCAAATCACACATGAATTGAGAGACTGGCACCCATGAATGGGATAGGTGGAGTAATTCATATGCAGATAAGCCCCTTGATCTGTGAGTGAAGGATAGTGATTGTTGTATCTGCTGATCTGAACTGATGGGTTAGGGAGGTGAGATTTCCACATGTTCTTTTTAACTGTAGGTTTCTGTTAGCTCTGGATCTGCAGGTCAATGGAGGAAAGAAATTGTAACCTGCCCTTTCACCGACTTGATATGTGACTTCACTCAAACTACTGTATCGTTAAAAGGAGGGTTATGGAAATATACTCTGAGAACAGCTATTTATTCTTGGTTGTTCTGTAAAGGGCATAATTAGAAAATGTGCCTGTAGGTTCAGACATCTGACAGCCTTCAGCTGCTGTGGAGAGCATATTCATCATGGTTTCCAACTGAAAGATATGCTCAAGATTTTCTTTTCTTTATTCTTTGCAATCATGCCAAATGGGAAGGATCTGACAGATGTTTTTTTCCATGTTAGGGTGGACAGTGTTGGTTTTGCAGATGTGCAAAGTGAAGATGAGCTGTATGATTTTGACATGGACATGGACCCTCCCAACTGGCAGCAACTTGTGAGCCGAGAAGTGTTGATGGGGCTGAAACCCTATGAAATCAAGCGCCAAGAAGTGATTAATGGTGAGATGGATATTTATTCCTAGCTCATCCAGCACAGAGTTGTCTGTCCTCTGGAGCTCTGAAGTTCTTAACATTTAAAACTAGGTCTTTCTTCACTGATGTCCTCAAAGTGCTGCTCATCTCCTACTTGTGGGTTTGCATATTTTGAGCATGTGAAACTCGTACTTCTTGATAAGTATCCTGAGATGCAACCAATCCAGTCCTTAGAGGAGAAATGAAGAACATTTAGTGATTTGACACTGAAAAGCATGTTTGCAGTATCATGTTCTATGAAAGAAAGCAAAAGGCACTGTCTAGAGCACTGGAAAGCACCTCCTGCAAATTGAAAGCTACTACCGAAGTTCATCATCAAAACTTCATCTCAATTTCAAGTCTCGCAATCCTGTGGAACACTCTGTGTGGCTATAGGAGCTGCTGAGAGCTCCCTGTTTGGGTTAAATTGTCAGTCATGAATCAACTGGATTCTTTGTTCTTTCAAACATGGAAATATTTGAAATAACCCTTTTCAGTGGTGCCCAGTGACAGGACAAGGGGCAATGGGCACAAACTGGAGCACAGGAGGTTTGACCTGAATATGGGAAAATCCTTCTGGACTCTGAGGGTGGCAGAGCCCTGGGACAGGCTGCCCAGGGAGGTTGTGGAGTCTCCATCCCTGCGGACATTCAAACCTGGACGTGTTCCTGTGGGATCTGCTCTAGGGGATCCTGCTCTGGCAGGGGGGTTGGACTAGATGATCTCCAAAGGTCTCTTCCAACCCTCACCCCTCTGACTGTGTAGCAGAGCATGTCTCCATTCTGGAGCAGTCTGGAATGTTAGCAAGCAAGGGCAGTGTTGATGAGGGAGACAGTTCATACTTCTGCCTTCTGTTTGCCTCACAGTTGGCCCCACACTGCCACACCTCCTTAAGTAGGTCATTACAATCCTGCTTTCCTCTCTCTCTCCCTCTCTCCAGAGTTGTTTTACACCGAGAGAGCTCACGTCCGCACGCTGAAGGTTCTGCACAACGTCTTCTACCAGCGTGTCACCCGGGAGGGCATCCTCAACTCCAGTGACAAACGGAAAATCTTCTCCAATCTGGAGGATATCCTTGGGCTTCATGGTAAGAGCAGCTCAGGGGCCTTTCAGCTTTGTACTCTCCACTGGAATCCTGGATACAAAGATGTGAAAAATTTAAGCAAGTGACCCTGAAACAAGAGGCAACCTCATGCAACACTTGAGATGAAAAAATACTCCAGCTGTTCTTCCTTCCACACACAGGTTTCCATTTCTGATTTAGAAAGATATTTTGATAAAGAATGCATCTGTCCAGTCTTTCAGATACTTGCTATTTTTTTAATCTGTGTCCACAGTCTCTCTCTTGCTGATTCATGCCCTGATAAAAGGAGCAGCACTTTGATGAATGGTCTTTATGGGTCAATGTTCACAATGATCCAACTGTTGCTGAGGAGAATATGAAAACAGATCTGCAAAGACTGATGTCTTGCAGGTGGTTTTGAAGGGTGACCCTTTTTAATTGTGTAGAGGAAGGACTGTCCAGGAACAGAACCTCAGCTCTGCCACTGAATAATCAGTTGCATAATTTTCTGCAGGTGGCTTGAAGTGTGTTGTACATTATTCCTATCTTTTTAAAAGGGAAGTGATGCTGAGCCTCAGAAAAGATAAGGCTGGAAAGAGTCTTAGGGGTCATTTGAAGAACAGCAAAGGAATTATGTAGCATTTTCTTAGGTATTCTACTAAATTTCTTATGGTCCAAAACAGTCTTATAACATTTGCTTAAATATTCTGCTAAATGTATTATGTTGCAGGACACTTTTCATTTTTTTAGCTTAATTCATTGGAATGATTGCAAACTTATTACAAAATAGCTTTTATTTTCAAATAAATGCTGAAAATGAAGAAATCTGAGCAATATTAATGAAATGTCCTCTTTTGTTTGTTTGTTTGTTTTTTTGTTTAATGAAGTTGCATTGAATGATCAGATGAAAGCTGTCCGGAAAAGGAATGAGACTTCTGTTATTGGCCAAATTGGGGAAGACTTGCTTTCCTGGGTAAAATCCTGTTTTGTTTTCTTGTACTTGAAAAGAATGTGTGGTAGGATGACAAACAGAGCCAGAGGTTAGTGAGGGTAGTTCTGAGCTAACAGGAGCTTGAAGGTCTTAGATGTGACATTTCTATGGAGCCGACACAGTGGCAGAGAAGGAGGGTCGAAGGAAAGAAGGAAGAACCTGCAGGATTTCCATTTGGCTAGAGGTAATAGTAATTTAAGGAGGAAAAAATAATCTTTCCATGATGTGTGGGTAGAGTGGAGAGGTGGTTTTGGAGGCATAAAGATGCGGGGTTTGAAAAAAGGTAATAGCACAATTTATTGCAATAACTTTGAAATCTAAGTCCTGTGTTTCCTGTGGTGCAGTTAAAAGATAGTTAAAAATACTGTTTTCCAGTCCTAGACTTCACATAGCTGAAGCTTGTCTGATTTATAGCACTGGTGCAGACTTCCTTTTTGAGTTCCAAATTACAGGAGCAGGAGTAATGCGATTGGGAAAAAAATACATTTTCTCTCAAGAATCTCCTCTTTTGTCATTTTTTTTCAAGGCTACTTAATGTAGGAGTGGGGATTGATCTGCTTGCTCTTCTCAGCTCCTCATGCAGAAATCTCATCTGTTCATTTGGTTGTTTGTTTTTTTTTTATATCTAGCTGTTTGTCTGGTATCCCAGAAAAAAAGGGAAGAAAATGAAAATCAGATGTGGCTGGTAAAGAAACAGATCCAGCTCTCCAGTTCTCTTGTGTGTTAGCTAAAAGCTAGGAAGTGCTTGCTAGAGCAAGCTAGGCCTTAAGTTAGTAGTTATTTGCCCTTGTGTGGTGTTCTGGCTAAGTGGCTAAGACAAAAACCCACAAGATCTGGTTCTCCAGAGTGAGTATTTTCAGCAGTGACTGTGCTGCTTCCCAGGCTGAGCAGCAGGGATGGGAAGAGCTGCAGTGACAGATGAACCATCTCTGTGGAACATCGCTCAGCCCTGCAGGTGGCTGCCATTTCCCCTAGCTGTGTTTTTGTAATGCTTTCATTGAGGAGATGTTGCATGATACTCTGGTGTTTAAGGCATGGTTGTCCCTGAGAAATAAGGTGACCTTTGGTCTTTGCTGACCAACAGTCCAGTAAATAATCCCTTGTCATTCATGTGAGTGCAGGTTTTTCTGTTCTCCTTGTGATTGACTGTGGAGATGTGGCACTGTGTTCTCCCTCTGAATCAGAAGTGTGTTTATGGAAGGGAATGGATGTGCTAGGGCTGGAGACAGGAGAACTGCAGAGTCTGAGGTGCAGAAAGGGTTCCTCAGTAGATTGGGAAAATGAAGCCTGAAAAGCAGGATGGAAATGACTTCACATATTTTGCCAGTGATTTTCCTTCCATGGCGAGACCAGTTCTGCCACGTGTCTGTTGCAAGTGGCACGTGCTGCTGTAGAGTTTATCTAAATTTGGCTTTCTTGGCTTTCTGGCACAGTTTAGTGGACCAGCAGAGGAGAAGCTGAAACATGCAACTGCCACGTTCTGCAGTAACCAGCCCTTTGCTCTAGAGGTCATCAAGTCCCGCCAGAAGAAGGACTCTCGCTTCCAGACTTTTGTGCAGGTGAATTTTATGCAAGGGTTTGAGCTGCCTGAGGATGTGGCTGGTGGCCAGCGCAGCATAATGAATGGTTGTAGATACAGTTATTATAATTAATGACATCATGTCTAACATTGTCTTCAGCCTGGGATAATTTCCAATAGTGTATTTATCTCTGCTAATCGTTTCTGGAGGGAGGAGTCTTTAATTCTGGGGAACACAGAATGTCCTGATAGAAGGCAGGAAAGCACTTGCTGTCCCAGGCAGGAGATGGCATCTCACTTGAGGTGGCAGTTTCCCAAGGATGAGTGGATACTTTTGTGGGGAAAATAGTGCAAAATCCTAGTGCAATTTTGATGCATGCCACAGGCAGAAGACAGTTAATATATACCTATTATTCTGCCTGCCAGGGAAGGGGCTTGAATACATGTGGCACTTGGAGGGAAGAACATTATCTTCATTACCACAAGCTGGGAAGAGCTCTGGTGATACAAGGGTTGAGGTTACAATGAAAAATGTACTGTAGGTTTGCTATAGCATGAAAGCCTAAACTGATGTCTTCCCTGCATGGCAGTGACTGAGATTGATTTGAGGTGGTACCAGGTCTCTGTGAAATAAGGAGGGAAGGAAGCTGCTGTTTAAGTGATGAGCCTTTCCTAGATGTAATTGCAAATGGAGAGGGAATGTGTTGTCTGAATGATAGATCTTGGCATTTCTTGTCTTGTAGTTAATTACTGGGAAGTGAAGTAATAGACTTTTATGTGATGAATAGATGTTACATGTTCAGGTAATTATAGTCTTAATAAAAATGACAAATGTTGTTATTGTGCTGTTTAATTTTAGGATGCTGAGAGCAATCCCCTGTGTCGCCGGCTGCAGCTGAAGGATATCATTCCTAAAGAGATGCAGAGGTTGACTAAGTACCCTCTGCTGCTGGATAACATTGCTAAGTACACAGGTAAAAGCCTTTCCACCAGGATCTGGGCATGCATCTCAGCAGGATTTTGAGGCAAATGTCATTTCAAAGCACGTGTTGAGGAACAGTTCAGTTTTACAGGTCACCCCACGCTTGCCTCCTGCACAGGAGGGCAGGCTAAAAACAAAACAAGCCAGTCTTTGTTTCTAAATTCCACTAATTTTTCTTCTTAGGGGGAAAAAAAAAAGGAAATGCAATGTGAAATAAGTGAAGGACAGTCTGCATTGGTTGTAGTGTGCACAGAGTGCAATGTCAGCATTTCAATGTAGTTTTGAAAATGTAGGGGAGGGCAGTGCTGAAATTCTGGAGATAAACCAACAGACTCTGCAGTGAAAGTGACTGGCAAAACAACTTGATTTGCCTTTCGTTTTTGAAGAAGGAAACGAGGAATCCCTGTCTGCTCTCCACTTCCTAGTTTGTTTCTTAATTTTACACTAATCCATTTCTAGTGGATTTTAATGATTATAACAACCAAACAGAAGTGAAGAAAATATTGTCTCTGCACCCTTATCTTTCTGCTTGTATGACAGTCTCTGATAATGTCAGTAGCTGGAATTATATTCAGAGGAAAAAGAACAGGGATCGTGTAACTCTCCCTTATTAAATGCTCTTAGCAACCAAATCTTGAGGAAATTATTGAGAGGCAAGTTGGATTTGTGCTATTGTTTTGAATACTCATTAGCATGCCTGTTCTTTCTGTGCTTTTCTAGATATATTTAGCAATCCTGAGGAATGAAATAACTAGAAAGAATTCAGTCACTGAAGATGCTACTCTATTTGTCTCAATAAATTGGTTTTCAATAATAATATACTCTGATAAACATATTTTTTCTTGGAATTCAGGACATTCAGATAGCTAAATCAACCTATTAAGAGAAAACCCATTTAAGTGAATTTCAATTTCTATGTAGATACATTTGAGAGAGAAAAAGAATAAGATCTTCAGTAACAGAAATCCCTAATTGTGCATTACTAACATAAAAATATGAAGAATGAAGAATCTAATAGAAACCAATCAGGTTGTGCCATTGCTTAAGCAAGCTTGGGTAGACATGGGGCATACTTGTGAGCAAGGAAATGGAAAAGGAAAATATTACAGAATCTAGGCAAAAATCATGTAGTGTGAAGGCTTATAAATCACCATGCTGCTTCCAGAAGAGAACAAAAAGCAGGTAATACAGAACAAATTGATTTTTTTTTTTTAAGGTCAGGGTTTTCTTGTTATCGACCCAGAGTGGATTGTTGTTTGGTTTTTGTTTGTTTGGTGTTTGTTTTTTTTAAACAATACTCTGTACTATTGGTTAAAAATTCCCAGTATTGGGGAACAATGTGTCCTCAGAGTGCAACCTGACCTGCATCCCAAAAGTCTGATACCAAGCAAGCTTCATAAAAATCTTAGATGTTATCAAGATAAGGTCAACTAAGAATTTGAAGGAGGTTGAACTTGGGGTGAAATACTTTCCTTCATAAGAAGCAGCAGCAGAATCTTGATCTTCCTCATGTGTTGAATCTCTAAAGCACTTCAGAACCTTTCCCTGTTCTTGCAGAGGGTGGAGTCTAGCTAGAATGTGTGAAATATATTTCCAGCATAACAGGCAAAAATATGATTAATAATACCACAAAATGCCTTTCTGGGTTTACTAGTTTTACCTGCTGCAGTGTAATTTCATTACTCATAAAAAAATACTGCATTTACAATTGATTCTAATCATAAGTAGATAATACTCCATCATCCTTGATGGACTTGTTTTTTTAGCTATCTGAGTTCTTAATAGTAGTGAGAATTGGTGGGGTCCACCATGTATGATTTAAGTGGCATTGACTGGAAAATCAACTCTTCTTTGCTCTTGCTGTGATAGGAGACTGGTATTTATGGTCAGGCTGCATCAGTGTAGCTAGAGAGACTTTCCCTAAGATGTTTGGATGGGAAAAATAACTATGTAACGCTTCATAATAAAAATATTTTGCATGGTATTTCTTTGTTTCTCTCTCTCATTCAAAAGAAATAAAGAAAAAGAACTGGGAGAGAGGCAAGAGCCAGTAATAGTCAGTTGCCAAATCTTGGGTCTGCAGGTAGCTGGAGGTGTGTGGTCTTCAGTATCTATCCCAGGACTCCTTTTGTACCATGATGGAGTCTTAGGAAACTCTTGATTTCTCAGAATACTTCTCAGATTGATGCTTGTGGAGTGAATTTTCACAAGCCCCTCAAGAAAGGGAGAGGAGGAAGGGCTGTGCTGTGCACAGTGACCATGAGAGGCTGGTGTCTTGTGCGGGGCAGAGGATTATTTCCTGTCCCAATTGGATTTTCATAATTTCCCCTTTGAAATGCAGTGCTTTTGTTGATAGGCTGTTCTGCGAATTCAAGTTCTTTTCCTCAAACTTGAGGTCAGCAAACTGCACTAGATTTCTGACTTTTTCAGCTTTTCTTGGAAAGCATCATTACATTTCCTTTTTCTGTTGCAGAACTGCCTGAAGAGAAAGAGAAGGTGAAGCAAGCAGCAGATCATTGTCGTCAGATCCTTAACCATGTGAACCAGGCTGTCAAAGAGTCTGAGAACAAGCAGGTAGCATCATAGAATCATGAGTCATGGAATAATTTGGGTTCAAGAGACCTTCAAGATCATTTAGATCCAAACCCTTGCATGGGCAGGGACACCTCCCACAAGCCCAGGCTGCTCCAAGCCCCATCCAACCTGCCCTTCAACACTGCCAGGGATGGGGCAGCCACAGCTTCCCTGGGCAACCTGGGCCAGGCTCTCACCACCCTCACACTCCACAATTCCCTCCTCATGTCTCACCTCCATCTCCCTCTTCCAGTTTTCATCCCTTCCCCCTTGTCCTCTCCCTCCCTGCCCTTGTCCCAAGTCCCTCCCCAGCTTTCCTGGAGCCCCTTCAGGCACTGGAAGGTGCTCTAAGCCTTCTCTTCTCCAGGCTGGACAACACCAAAGTTGGAGAAGAGAGTTGAAGGGCAGCAAGGTGTTTAACACACCTGGAGTGTCTCTACTAGTGACTTTATATTGTACTTAGAGACGTTTTGCCTGTAAGAAAAGGAATTTGGGAAGGCATTTGGGGATGTCTGAAAATATTCCTGACTGCCTGCTCTCTGAGGCTAGTGAGTTTTGCTAATGGAGGTGACCACCTTCACTGCCTTCCCTGCAGCACTTGGAAGATTATCAGCGTCGTCTCGACCTCTCCTACTTGAAGTCTGAGGATCCCATGATGGAGGAATTCAGGGTGAGTTCAGCAAAGCCATCTTTATGTAAATCATGATTGCAGCCCTGTTCAGCTGGTGGCTTTTTCTGCTACAGTCTTCTGATGTACAGTCAAATAGTACACAACATTATATATACACAAATATTATAGACAAATTAAAACCATTAGGCTCAGAAATTTGATTTTTGCTGCTTTCCTGAGGATCTCCATGGATGAAAGAACTTGGCTCTGCACATGAAGCTTGTCAGTGCTGTGAAACAAATCTTTGTCTGCAAGCTACTGTGCTTCTGTCTCATACAAGAAAGAGCTGCTGGATGATAGGCCTCATCATGGATAAGTATCCTTCATGATCACATCCATGTCTTAGCTGTGCTGTTGGAACTGGAACAGGCCTCAGAGAGCCATGAGGTGTAGCACTTAGTTGTGAAATTCTAATTCTTAATTACAGGGCACTTAGTTCTTAATTTTTGCCACCATTTGTGTCATGTATGTTCTCTGGTGTTTATTTATCACTGCCTTGCCTTCTCCAAAGTCAGCATGTACCCAAAGACATTTTTATATGCAGACCCCTCTATAAAGCTGTGTGCTGGAGCCTTCCACAAGGAAACTTGCAAGCATTTAGTGAGGAAATGAAGAACTTCCTGGCAGTTACAAAATCTTTCTGTCATTGATTGTAGACTCTGCAACTTGGAAGGAATGACTTGTGAAAATTGTCACTTCTTCTTGCCTGCAGATCTTAATGTCACAAGCAGTGAAATGACTGAGGAATCCATTGACATTCTAAAGTCCATCAGATCACTGGGATGATTTGTGTAGCAGTGTGTCTCTTGTAGGCACACTTGGCTTGCAGATTGAGTGCTGAGGCATTAACCACTTGTAGTCCTTGAACTGCAAGCTTTGTGTGGGATAATTGGAAAAATTCCCCCTAGGAGTCAGAGGACATCCTCATTCCTTAGTAGCTTGACTTGGTAGGAAAATTCTCTCTGTATGAGGGAGAGTGATAACAAACACCTCTCACAAGGTCCTGTTTTACAATCATTCCCTACTCCTGCTCCACATTTCTTTTTCCAGACTGGCTTTTGCTGCTCATCTCCAAACTGCAGTGCCTGTTGGAGCTTTCCCCCTGACATTCCCATGCTTTACCTCTGCTTCTACAGGGATTTCATAGTGCTCCTCTTTTTTCTTCTCTCCCCTGGTGACAGAATTTGGATCTAACAAAGAGAAAAATGCTCCATGAAGGTCCTCTGATTTGGAAGGTCAATCGTGACAAAACGATCGGTGAGTCTCGTTCCACCAGCTGAGCTGAAGTTTGTGTGTGTTTGTTGAGGAAGGGAAAGCATTTCTGCAGCTTCCAATGATGATTCCGGCTGCCACCTATAATAATGCCTGTGTGTTTCTCAGAGCTGATTAAATCATTCTTGTCAATTCTGAGGTGTGGTGGAGCATCATTAAGGCCATGCAGGGACACAGCAGTCAGTCATGAGATGAACCAGTTCCATCTGTATCTTGCTGCTGTGGTTCTGATGAGGAAGATTTGCAAGCTTTGCCTAGGATTGCATAGCACTGATTACTGCCTCTGCATGAGTAATCAAAAATGCAGCTTTTTTACTTTCTGCAGGGGTGTGAGAGAAAACTATGAATCTTTAACTCATTCTGAGTTGTTTGGTGCAGATCTCTACACTCTGCTTCTGGAGGACATTCTGGTGCTGTTGCAGAAACAAGATGATAAACTCATCCTGAAGTGTCACAGTAAAATCTTGGCATCCACAGCTGATAGTAAACACACCTTCAGTCCCATCATCAAACTGAACACTGTTCTGGTTCGACAGGTGGCAACAGGTCAGTGTCACCACTTGGGAAAGCAAGAGAGGAAGCCAAAAATGAAGATTAGCTCAGTTGAGGAGAGATGGTTTTGTCTAGAGTGCCAGAGCAGAACACAGGAAAAATGCGTAGGCTTAATTCTTGGTTGTCCAACATCCTGCTTTGTGTGTATGAGCTGTTAAACTTCTTTGCATCAGTAATAGGCATTGCTTGAGTTTTAAATAGGCTTCTAAATTAAAGTACTCTGATTGTATTAGTTGAAAGGTACTCTAGCAATTATTAGAAAGGAGAAAAGGAGAGATACATTTGTTTCAAAATTGCTTGGGTGGTAATGGCTCCTCTTTCAGGACTAATAGGCAGATTTCCTGGGAAGGGAAAGATGTTTTATATATTATAGGGTTCATCTCCTGAACTCTTCTTCCATTGTTGCTGGTTGGAGTCATGCCCAGTTGTAGGAATGTTCAGAAAAGCTGTGTGGGACAAGGCCTTTAGTTAAGCTCTTCCCTCCCTGTGTTGCTGCAGATAACAAAGCTTTCTTCGTCATCTCCATGTCAGAGAATGGTGCTCACATTTATGAACTGGTGGCACAGACTGTCTCAGAAAAGAATGTGTAAGTAACAGGTTCAGCTCCATCTGCTGCTTGATGTTTGAACCTGAGAGATCTTTTACATCTGCTTGATGGTGGGAACTGTGCGGGTGGCCGTGAATTACCTGAGCTGCTTCTCTATGCTGAGCTGAAAATACAGCTCTGTTGGACTATGTAGGAAATATCCAGGGATACTCTCTTTCAGGATCTAAAAAGCAGAGGGGAGGGTGTGCATGTATGTGTGTATACACACACACACACACACACACACATATATATATTACATTAGAAAAAAACCCCAAACACACACTCAGTGCTTCTGTTGTTTGTTGTCTGGCTCACTCCAACCCCTTTCCTGACCCCAAAAGTGCTTTTCTTTACCCTTGCAATTCTGGTTTTACATGACTGACTGCCACATACCTACCTTGAATAATGCTGCATCCTCATGCAGAACCAGTTGGCCAAGGTCCTGGCATTAATTTCCTTTTGCTGAAGAATATCCTGGTGAGCTGAATGTTATGCTGTGGTGCTTCACTTGTGGCTGCAAGGTGCTGCATTGACTATAGCAGAATTAAAAGCAATGAGATATTTCTCTTGATAAGAAAAGCAATAATAATATCAGCTGGGTTGAAAAGGTGTTAAATAAAGAAATATTCATTGTGCTTCATGCCTTGCATGTTCTTATTTGATGTTTCTACTGCAGGTGGCAGGACCTTATAGCTCAGATGGCAGGGACTGTAAAAATGGAGAGTACTAGAAGAGTGATTCCACTGCCACCACAGTCAGGACCTGGAGAGTAAGTAAAAGTAGCTGGAGGAAGGGCTGTTTTATCTTTTTTCAGTACCTCTTCTTCTGCTCAGAGATTGCCAGCACTGATTCTCCTGCAGGGATCCAGATACATGTGACTAGAGAGGAGCGTGAAGAAGAGGAGCACCAGAAGCTCAAGGAGCAGCATGACATTCCTGCCAGTAGTCTACAAAGTCCAGGTAAAACTGTGGTCTGGAGAAATGGGATCAGTAGATGAGCTACCTCAAGTGCAGACGTGCCAAGCCACATTCCTTCTAGACTGAGAATCTTCTGGTAGCTTTGACATTTTTCTGGAAAGGAATTCTTTCTTTACAAGTCATGTAGAGAAGTGAGGAGTGAGGCTGAAACTCCTAGAAATGTACCTCTTACTATTTCCATCTGTTTTATAAATTCCTGGGAAAGCTTCTTTTTCCTCCTGAGAAGAATTGGCCTTTTACCAAGCCTGTCCTCAGGAATTGTACTTTCTGCTGTTTTCAGAGATTTCTGTGTGTAGAGGTTTCTTCACTTAATCATCATATTTGACAAACTTGTTTAACCTGAATGCCTGTTTCTGTTCACTAGATAAAGATCTGGGACTTGAATCTCCCTTATTACTGAATGCTCAGTCTTCTTCACCCATCATGTCTGAAAAGTCCAAGGTAGAAAGTCTTCTTGTGGCAGAAAGACAGTTTGACAAAGTGCAGCAGGCAGAGCTGACTCTGAAAGATTCTTCTGCATGCTACGAGCACCCATCCTCCAGTTTACCTTCTGAATCAGAAGGGCAGTGGGCACTGGATGCACTGAGGAACTGTGAGTATCTGTGGGCAGAGTCTGGTGGGATGTGGTGGAGAGATGGGAATTGTTATGTCAACCATCTAAATCAATGAGCTAAAATAACATCTTAAAGCACATTTATATTACTTATTCATTTTCTCACAGCTGTAGATCATAGCACAGCAAAACAAAGTGGACCTGACAGCAAGGAATTCCAAGTTCTGAATTGATATACTGGCCCTTTCATTGGCTTTAGGGACCTCATTGTTTGTCCCATGTATAAAACAAAGGTCACAATGAGCTGTTACTCACTGCCCATGAAGTTCTTTGATGCCAAAATGATATTGCAGCCCTTTGTGCAGCGCCATAGCTAGTCAGCAGTGTTTTAGAAGACCATGCACTTGGCCTGTGAGATGATTTTCATAGCACTGGAGTAAAACAGGAGAGGTTGCAGAATATGATTTTGCATATCTGCAGTTGAGATGGCATATGTGGAAGCTTGACAAAGTCTGGGTCTTGGTGCTTGTTGTCAGAGACCAGTGATAAGATAACCTTAGTCTGTGAGTTATGGAAAGGTAGTACTGGTGACCTAGTATCTCAGGACTATTCAGAATTAAAGAAAATCCCATAAAGAGCAGCAGTGGGTCACTCACATTTTTACAAGATCCTTCCACTTGGATGAGGGACTCTTGTACTGTCTGAACTCACAGCTTTTCTTGAGTGAGCATCATATAATGAGCAGGAACAGTGTTCTTGTCCTTTTGGCAGCATCATATCTTTGTTTTGAACAATGTGTCCTTATTATGAAGTAGTTGGTTGGGATGATTTGAGAACCCAAAGGAATGTGGGTTGAAGTTCAAGCAAGCATAAATTTGCATGAAATTTTAGGGAAAATGTCTTCAATTTTTTTTTGATCTGGCATTTCAAGTTGAGTGGAATATTCTCAAGAATATTCTCAAGTTTCTCAGGTGGGAATCACCTATTACGGCCATAGGTTTTAGTTTGTCTGGGGGCATGGGTATTGGGCACTCACCTGTACTCCAGCTCACTTGCTGGATAATTTTAGTAGATGATACCTGGTTTTCCCTGAGCAAGATGGAACTTGTACTGACATGTTTGGTCTTGCTTGTAAAGTACAATGTTGGAGTTAAGGCTTCAGACCTTATGTATTTTATCTTCATCCCAGTTTTTCCTACCAAGAGTAATGAGAGGGCTGGCAGCTCTGAGGAACACCTTTTTGAAAGGGTGGCCTTTATGTCTAGCTTAATCACCATTAGGGAGGTTATGGTCTGTGAAGCCTGATGGATGTTCTCTCCACTTGCAGTGGGCTTGCTGAAACAGCTGCTGGTGCAGCAGCTTGGCTTTGCTGAGAAGGGGACCCTTGAAGACTGGCAACGCTTTCCCAGGTTCAGGACCATTTCTCAAGAAGCCCAAACAGAGAGTGAAAGTGAGCCTGGGCTGCAGCACTCTGACAGGAACAAATTTCACCAGCCTGGAGCAGACAGAACACTTCCCAGAACAGGGACTCAGGAATCCACAGCTGGTTATGGCCTCCGGACTTCAGCTGAGTCACCAGCGCCAGGAGATGCCATGCAGCTGGTCGGGAGAGACCCCGGGTCGAGTAGCAACTTAGCAATAGACCAGATGAATCTGGAGATCTCAGCCCCAGAGCTGGAAGGGGGGGTGGGTGCTGATGACAGTGGGGAGCATTTTTTTGATGCCCGAGAAGCTCACATTGATGAAAATCCATCTGAAGGTGAACTCATGGAAAGGAAGGAGGAAGAGGATGTGCAAATACGGATCTCAGGTGAGTGTGTTTCACAGAATCATAGAATGTTTGGGTTGGAAGGGCCCTGAAAGATCATCTAGATCCAACCCCCTGCATGGGCAGGGACCCCTCCCACCAGACCAGGTTGCTCCAAGCCCCATCCACCCTGCCCTTCAACACTGCCAGGGATGGGGCAGCCACAGCTTCCCTGGGCAACCTGGGCCAGGCTCTCACCACCCTCACAGCACAGAATTTCCTCCTCATGTCTCACCTCAATCTCCCCTCTTCCAGTTTTCATCCCTTCCCCCTTGTCCTCTCCCTCCCTGCCCTTGTCCCAGGCCCCTCCCCAGCTTTCCTGGAGCCCCTTCAGGCACTGGAAGGTGCTCTAAGGTCTCCCTGGAGCCTTCTGTTCTCCAGGCTGAACACCCCAACTCTCCCCGCCTGGCTCCAGAGCAGAGCTGCTCCGGCCCTTGGATCATCTCTGTGGCCTCCTCTGGAGTCTCTCCAGAAGCTCCAAGTTCTCCTTGTGTTGGGGACTCCAGAATTGGACACAGTGCTCCAGATTGGGCCTGGAGTGTTCATTTCCTCATTGCACAAGTCTTTCCACATCCACCCTTAGAGACTCAAGATCAGTTTTAAATAAAAGATCCTAAGGAGTATGTTTTCTCTCTTAATTACATGATACAGAGATTTTGAAGTTAACTCTCAGTCCTTGAGAGCCATTTTAGCTCTGGGAAGGGCTGTACAAACATGTACCTCATGACTACTGTTTTATGCAAGGAAAAGCTGAAGTAGTGCTGGGTGAATACCTTGTGGCGGACTGGAATTGCAGACACAGGGGTACAGTGCAGGCCCTTGGTGGCTGTTGCCACTGGACCACTTTCTCTCTCTGCTGACTGTTGGGATCTGGAGGGAAAACATTTCCCCTGAAGGCAAAGCACTTCCTTAGTCTGTGTGCACACAGCCCCTGTGACCTGGGGTCTTTTAGAGATACTGTGTTGGCTTCTCCTGATAAAGCCTCAGAAGAGAGACCTACAGTTTGGCTTTGCACTGTGAAAGTCTCCTGTGACCTTCCCCCAGTCTGCAGCTCTTACAAGCCTGCTATTTTTGTTATTTCTGTTGTTATTACTACATGTGCTATATTTGGCTGCTCACTTAGCAGCAGCTTAAAGTGTATCTCTTCCAGCCTTCAAGAAGGTGGTAGAGTTTTTTGGCAGAAAGCTAGCCCTGAGACAGCAGCTCTGAGCACTTACATGGGACTTTGCACACTTGGTGTTTGAAAAGTCCCATGATTTTGATCAGCTGAAGTGATCAGTGCACCAACCTTAGCACACAAGTTGGTGTTTATCTCGTGTATGTTGGACTGTAAGTAGCTACTGGAAAGTAGATCCTGTATGACTGTTAGTGTTGAAATCTCTTAGCCATAAATATGCTTTTATTGAAAAATGGGATTCTATCATTGTGAATAAGCCAATTTGTAGCTGTCTGAATGCTGCCTTCCTACTACATATTGAAAATCATTTTTATTTCCCTGAATTACTGAGACATTTTAAATTACTAAAACTGAGCCAACAACTCAAAGCCCTTAATTTATTTGTCACCTCTTATACTGTTTATTTTCTTAACTGCACAGGGACATAAGAATTGGATTGACCTGGTTTTAGTCAGTTCTGACTCCACATGGTAGATTTGCTGTAATTCTGTAGAGAAATTATTTAATGTAATCCTATTTCAAGGTGCAGGCTGTGAAAGCATTTTTAGCTATAATGGCTTCATCTTCTAATAGATCATAGAATCATGGAATGGTTTGGGTTGGATGGGACCTGAAAGATCATCTAGATCCAACCCCCCTGCATGGGCAGGGACACCTCCCACTAGACCAGGGTGCTCAGAGCCGAAAGTTAACCCATCTAAAAGCATCCTCTGTGCTCTAGTTAGTTACTGGAGGAACTGGAACTCTAGCAGTCTGATCTGTTGGGTGCCAGTAGTAAAGGTGCAGGTTTTTCAGACATTATAAGAGATTTTTGAGAAACAGGAAGGTAGGTCATTACCTCATCTAATCATGTCATTCTCCAATTGCAGTCTAAAACCCAGCCATGATCTCTGAATCTAAATTCAGCACCAAACTACCCTGGTCTGCTATAATCACTGTCCTGTGTAGTGTTCATAAATGCTTTTCCTTATCCATTTTAAAATGTCTCGGGGGATGGGCCTCTCACCACTTATCTTTCTTAAAGTCTGCTTAAACTGTCTCCAGTTCACTGGTTCCTGGTGATTATTGAGCTGGAGGTGTTAGTAAAAAGCTGTTCTCTTAACAGGAAATTATTTGATCCTTGATGGATACGGAACAGTGCAGGAGAGCTCCACAGATGAGGAGGTATCATCTCTAGTTCTCCAGTGCACGGCGGGTGGCCGCACCTCTTTGGACTCTGCCCAGCAGCAGCCCCTTTCCCCACGGGACACCCAGTCAGATGGAGGAAGCTCCCCATTTGCTGAGGAGATGATGGCCTCACGCTGGGGGGCAGTGGAAGAGTCCTGCTCCTTTGCAGCAAGCCCTCCCTTCTCTCTGGAGTCACGGCTGCAGATGATGCGGTATATTCAGAAGATAGAGGATGACCTTGAAAAGCTAAAGGTATGATGGGTTTCTATTGGCAGGCTCAGGGGTTTCATAGAGTCATCAGGGTTGGAAGGGACCTCTGGAGATCACCTAGTCCAACCCCCCTTGCCAGAGCAGGATCCCCTAGAGCAGATCCCACAGGAACATGTCCAGGTTGAGGATGTCCCCAGGGATGGAGACTCCACAAGCTCCCTGGGCAGCCTGTCCCAGGGCTCTGGTACCCTCAGAGTCCAGAAGGATTTTCTTATATTCAGGCCAAACCAGTTTGTGCCCATTGCCCCTTGTCCTGTCACTGGGCACCACTGGGAAGAGTCTGGCCCCATCCTCCTGACACCTCCTTTCATATTCTTTAGGTTTTGCTTTAGAAAAGAGCTTGCACATAACTTTGAGGGCTGAGAAGGGCCATGCCTGGTTCTTGTCTTTGGCTCTTATTTCTGGAAGCTTTTGAAACAGAAAACTTGGTGTTGTTTTGCTTGCAGTTCATGAGAGGCAAGTAGTTCTGCTAGAGCTGGCCAGGATGTGTATTGTTTTGATTGGAATTTGGAGAGATTCCTGAGGGACAGGACAAAACTGCAACAGTGGAGTTTGGAAGGGGCTGCTGACCTAAGGATTAGGAGTTCCTGCCATAAAAAGACTTACCCCACTATGTTCAAAATGCTGTTTTGTATGTAGTGGGAATGCTCTGTGCATAATAGCCATTACTGTAGAAAGTTTGTAGCACACCATTGGGATGGCTGAGACATCCTAACATGTACCCAGCCTTTAATTTAACTGGAAAATAAACATGGAATATTGCCTGATAAAGCTCCTGATAAAGGGGCTGAGATCCCTTGCTGTGCCATGTGGGTGATTCCAGTCCACTCCCATGCAGTGAAATTCATCTTAGCCTGTTTGAAGCCCTCTTTGTTCACTTGGAAAACAGAAAAAGAGGTACTTGAGTTGTGGGGTTGTTCTTGTTTTTTAGGAGGTTGAGGAAGACTACACCGTGCTGCGACGCCAAGGGCTGGCTGGATCAGCCTCCACAGGAGAGCACTCAGGTACACAACCAGCCTGTAATTGCTACCACAGCCCATGTCAGCTTCAGACACTAAATGAAAAGCACAAAGACAATTATTAATGTTTCTCATTCCCACCAAAGAAAAGGTCTCACCTACTTGAGCAGCTCTCACAGGGCTGAGACCACGTCAGGTCAGTTGAATCCACTGATACTTCCATGTGCAGAGGAGCTTGTTCCTTCCTCTGAAAAGCTTCTTTGCAGGCTGTCTCATCCCTGCCTGCCAAAGACCTGCATCTCAGGTCCTACAGCTTCTCTTTCAAAGAAGGCTTGATTGATGGAAAATCCCAAAGGAAGGTTTTTTTAAACATGTAAAATGGTCACAATCTGTCATTTCTTTCTCTGGGGTGTCTCTGATGCTGTGTAAAGTGGTTGCCATGAGTCCTTTAAATTGGCCTTAGGCATCTCAGAGATGTAACTGCTGGAATCACTGAAAAAGATCTTAAGTTGAAATGGATGTGCTGTCTCTCACATAACACTTCCTCTGCTATTACAGCAGTTCAGAAACGTTAGGAATTCTTCTCTCATTGCCCCTCCTGTCCCTCACCACTCTTGTTTTTTTTGTTCTTCTTGGTTTTTTTTCCTCCTTCAGACAAAAGCTAGTCATGTTTTCAGAAGTGGCTGAAGACTGGATGAAGAGTATCAGGACACAGCACCTGCTGTCTTCCCTGTGGACTCTGAGATGAGAGGTTTTGAACCATCCAGACATGAACTGTAACTGCAGCAAAGTGGGCATGGGGTGCTTTTCCTGTGGGGCATCTGCACTATCTTGTCAGTGAGGGAGTCTGTTGTATTTCTGCTCCTCTCCTTGCTACCAGAAAATTCATTTTTCAGAACAGAAAAACCAAACCAAATGTACAGAGCTTTGGGTGTAGGATATAAAAATGTATTTAGACATTTAAAAAAAAAAAAAATCATTGTATTTATTTGACTTCATTCCGTGTATCAAAAGCACATTTTAATTTTTTAATCTGCCTTTTTTTTTTTTTTGTTCTATTTTAATTGGGTAGTGACAGTTCTAGCCCTGTGCATGTAGTACACCCTGCCTGCCACTGCTCCTGAACCAAATTCAGGGCTGAAGGGGGAGGCTGTGCCTGTGTGCAAGTGCATCTTGACTTCACTGGACTGGACTCTGCACTCCCTGCTGGGCACTCCAACTGCCAAGAGCTACTTATGAAGGTGTTAGGATGACTGGTGGCTGGAACTATCTGTAGCCAACGATTGCATGGGAACTGCTCATGTCACCACATGTGGAACAAGAATTTTCCATGCACTAAATAGCCAGGCACTTGAGATGGGCAAATTTTCTCTTTCCCCTCTCCCATTAGGGGTCTCCTTGTGAAAATGCAAGATCAGACTGGGAGAGGAGAAAGACAAGTTTAATTTTTTTCTTGATGTTGTTGGCTTGATCATTGTCTCCTTTGTAAAGTGATAAAAATACTTGGACCTGCAGCACTTTTTGTAACTCTTCTCTGGATCAAAAAGAAAAAAAAAGAAATGCAAACCCAGAAGTGTTTCAAAGATGTGGGGCTGATCTGCCCCTGATTCACTACTGAATGAATAAGGGCTGCCATTTGAGTTAGCCACAGGTACTGCTGATTATAGGGCCAGTAAGTTTTAGTACCTGAAAGTATGTCTTGCTGAGGGCTTGGGGTGGGATTTGGGGTTTTATTGGGGGGTGGGGTCAGGTTGTTTTGGTTTGTTTTGTTTTTTAACTGATTCGTGCCAATGTGTTCTCACTGAAACAGATGTGCAAAACACCAGGGCTGAAACAGCTTCCAGTGATTGCTCAGGCCTGTTCTGATGGGTTTTGTTGTTGATATTCCTTCCAGGCTGGGAACAGGATGGAAACTCTCAGGCTACCAGCAGAGCCAGCACTGGACAGCCTAAGTGCCCTTGCTCTGAAGTTGGTCCCAGGACAGGCACTTGCTGCTTGGCATAGGGTGGTTCAAGCTGTCCCCAGTGTCACAGACACCATAAATACAACTGCTAGTGGAGAGTGTAGGCAGCCATTTTTGCACCCCTCTTCCCAGCTTTTAAACTATTTAATGCCCCCAAACTGAAGAGCAAAACCATCCAAACATGTAAACCACAGCAAGTTGTCAGAACTGTTATGGTTTGCATCACCCTGTGCATCATGGAGTGCTGAGAATCTGTCTTTGGTCAGCAGAAAGATCAGGCTCCTGCTCCTTCCAACCAAACGGTTCCTCTTTAGCTACTGGCAAGAAATCAGATCTGTCCCTTGTCTGCTCACATAAGAGAAAACCTGTTCTTGTTCTTCCTGTTAGGCATGTGCAAGGGATGAGTTCAGGTAAAGATGAACAGAGGTTGAGCAGAGATGGTGTTGGGCCTGATGGGACAGTTGAAGCCCTTAGCCCTCACAGGGCAGGGAGGAGTTTCTCTTTGTGTAGCAGCCACTTGCACAAAGTACCATTTTTCACCAGCAGAGCATTTCACTGCCAACACAAGCCAAAGTGTTCTCTTCCAGGCTGGCAGGAGCTTCCTCTTCCTCAGGACTCACCAGGCCCTGTCCCATGGCACGGGTACGGGTGCGTTGTCAGTATGAGCCCAGCCCTTCCATTCCCACCAGGGTGGGACCTCCCCTCCTTGCCTTCAGCCACACGGTTCCTTTGGTGATAAACATCTAGACTTTCTCTGGTAAGCCCCCCAGCTGGAACTCTGCCTCATGCTGATGTGGCATCTCTCATCTGATCCCACCAGAACGAGAAGTGGGCCTTGGCCAGACTTGGTGTTTAAGGCCCTTTTCCCCTTACATGAAAGGACCTTTGTTCTCGCCCTCATCAGGCCCCTGGCTCTGCACACTCCAGGAGCAGAAGCAGTTGTTATGACCTTAGCTTTCTAAAAGTTTTCCAGGAGGCTTCCATGGTTGTTGGAAAATTAGCACTGGATCAGAGAGAGCTTAGTCTGGCTCTTCAAGAGTGTGCTGGAAGACCAGATTTCTGCCTGGAATTTTCCACTCCTGTTTTGGTGATTGATACATTCCCTTATTCAGACTGGGTTGCAGAGCAGGATGATGTTCTCTGGATTGTTTGCCCCAGCCCCTCCTCCCCAGTGTTTGGTTTGGGGTATTTTCCTCCCCAAATGAAAGATGAGCAAGGTTTTCTTGTCTTGGGAGCAAAGGTGCAGTACAGCATCCATTCTTTCCTATCCTCCTGGGAAGTGATTTCTGCTGTTATGGGATATAGTTCATGGACAAGTCATATGGGCACTTTCTGGAAAGGGAAATCTCCTTCTCTAGGACAGAAGATTAAATGCAGAGCCTGGTTTGTTCAACATACCTTGTTTGTAGGGAGGGGAGATTGAACATCCTATAGGTGGGATCAGAAAGAAGGATGAGGAACATAAACCACAAGAGCTAACAAGTCTAGAGGGTTTGGGTCGGCTTTCACATAGCACTATGTCTGTTCCCAGTGTGTCCATAAAACTGATTGACAGATACTACCCCTGTTCCTACAAGAGGGGTATGACATTCAGCAGGTGACCCTTGATTATTCTAATCAGTGCTTGATGGTATCTGGTATTATTTTCCCCAAAGAAATTCCTTAATTCCCTCCCCCAAAAAGGTGCCAACTGACAAGCAGATGTACTGCAAAAGGGATACTGCAGCCAAAACACTGCTGTTTTCTTTTGAATTAAGTCTTGTGGAGCTCTCTTCATACTAGAATATTTTTATTTTTCTTTGTACAACATACAATCATGTACTCTTAACAGAGATTTACTTTAAAGAGAAGAAAAGAAATAAATAAATCTGGAAGTATTCTTTAAAAATACACAAAAATCTTTATTAATAATCCTGTATTTTTACTGATCATGTTTGAATGTCTAAAAAGACTTTATTGTTCTAATTATCCAGATGTATGTTTGTAAAATAGCTCTTTTATGACTTAGCTGATAAGGTTGTATGTTTCTGGAATTAAATATTGGTCACTTAAAAAAAAATAATTCTGTTTTCAGGATCTGGGAAATAGAAAATTTAAGCGTTTCAAATATCATTAAATAAGCTTAAAGGAAAGAAAGTTTTGTCTGCTGGATTTTTGGGGGGTTGTTTTGCTTCAATTGCCTGGAGTTTTTGGCAGGGGAAAGTAGGTGGATGGGCAAAGGAAGCTTTTCATTTGGTGCCAGTGACCTTTCAGACTCTGTTCTTGCTGTTGCAAGTGTGGGACCCCCCAGTTTTTATGGCTCATGAAATGCTGCTTTCGTTGGCTGCTCAAGGTAGAAGGGTCCTGGAATTCCAAGCACTGACTCTTTCCTTGCTGCTGTGTTGTCTCCTGCTGTTTCAGAGGAAATGTTTGGGCCACTTCAGCAACTTTGGTTCTAGTTGATGACTCTTAACCTTCCTTATCTCATCCGAATCCTAACCTGGGGAATAAGCAGTGCAAGAAATGGATGGTTCTGGGCTCAGCAGTCTCTGCTTAAAGAGCTGCTTCTAGCAGTGTCCAGCAGACACTTTGGAGTGTCTTCTCCAAAGCTCTGTGCACAAGGTGATCCTTTAAAAGGAAAAAACAAAGACTCAGGGGGGAAAAAACCCAACAACCTACTAGATCTCAAGAGATTTTAATCAAGTCTTAAAAATTCTGACACTTAAGGCACCAGGTAGAGACTATCACAGGAAAAATGGTTTATAATATAATGAGTCTCTTGCTAAGCCAGGACCAAAAAACCCCTCATGAAGTTAAGTAACAGCAGAGGGTGCTTGTTTGGGAGCTGCTTTTTAAGGATGCTGGTGTTTGGTTCCTTGCCAAATGCAGTCTTTATTGTTCAGGGAAGAAAGTCCCTCTGTGTTCCCTTCAGTGTTGACCAGTAAAGAGGAATTTGCTCAAAGCATCAATGACAAGAAAACAAACAAATCTGCCACTTGATCTAAGCTGGGAATGATACTTCAGGACCTCCCCCATGGTAAGTGATGCCTTGGTTGTGTTTTGCACAGCATGGGGTGCACCTGTGTTTTCCTGTGGTTTGGAAGTGGAATTTTGGAAGTGAATTTTTGCCCTTCACAGAGAGTTTCCTACCTAGGTGCCACACCCTCTAGTGCAGTCACAGGAATCCTTTTTGTTTGCTGATTGTTCACTATTTGTGTCACTAAGTTTATTCTTATTTTTTTAATGGATTCTGCCTGGACAGGAACTGTCCACATGGAGCCTTTCAGTGTGATGCTGTGGTTTAGTATCTGGCAGATTTTTGTAGCATCACAGGATGGATTGGGTTGGAAGGGAACTGAAATATCATCTAGATCCAACCCCTGCAGGGGCAGGGACACCTCCCACCAGCCCAGGCTGCTCCAAGCCCCATCCAACCTGCCCTTCAACACTGCCAGGGATGGGGCAGCCACAGCTTCCCTGGGCAACCTGGGCCAGGCTCTCACCACCCTCACACTCCACAATTCCCTCCTCATGTCTCACCTCAATCTCCCTCCTCCAGTTTTCATCCCTTCCCCCTTGTCCTCTCCCTCCCTGCCCTTGTCCCAAGCCCCTCCCCAGCTTTCCTAGATAAATTTTATCAAGGAAAAAAATGTTACAATTTTTTAAATGATACATTTTTATCATTTTCAGTCTGGCTAGACTGGCTTTTCCCCTGAAACTTTGCTGTGAGCATTTGCTGCTCAACCCTGAGGCTGCAGCTTTAGATCAGATGTTGGCAAGAGTGAAACGTTTTGCTTGTGTTCTGTCAAATGAATCTTCTTCCTTTATAGGTGCCTTTTGCTTTTGAACTTGATACCTTTGAATAAGTTTGGTTTCTTCTAGCAAGTGAAGAGTTTCTAGAAGATGAAACTTCACCCTTGTGCCTGGCAGCCCTTGCCAGCCCTTTACCACCTGTGGCCTGGAGCACCTGTGGGGACAGTTCTATCACAGGAGCTCTTTTACACTGCTTTGTATCAGTGCATGGGA